CGACGTCACCACTACTTTTCCTGGAGACGAACGGTACGCAGTCTGCACCGCCCCTCTCACCACTTTCCCCTGGGACCCGGTGTCTCGCCTGTTCACTCTAGGCATCACGTCCCCCACGGATGGAGCGTCCCCCCAAGTGGTCGCGCCCTCCTAGGTCGCTGCGGCTTGCTCGTGTCGGTCGCCGCGGCTTGCTCGTGTCGGTCGCCCACCCACCCGTTGTTGCTATGGCACCACCACTCACGTGAGGCTATTGGCTTTAAGGGATTACGGCAAGATTACGCTAGATATAGCGCGCCAGTACATCCCGAGCCTGGTCGGTGATATAGTTATAATAACAGGATAAACCAAAGGATAATGGAAAGGAGGAATAGGAATCCAAATGAGATGAGATAAAGACCAAATGAGGCAGGAGAAAAAGAAGAATCTGATGGAGGAGAAATATGGAATTGAGAAAGGAGTGGAGCGGGGTCGTACTCTCACACTTCCCCCCCTCAAAGCTGGGTGGTAGAAGTGACACCCTGCTTGACAAGGTAGTCGCAATGAGGACGACAAGCGTTATCCATCTCAGATTCAAGAACCCAGCTATCCTCAGAAGGATCATAACCCTTCCAACAAATTAGAAGCTCCATGGGGCCATTCTGACGATGGTGATGAGCAAGCACGGATTCGACCTCGTACTCGGGTTCATTGTGGACGAGGACGGGCGGTGGCGGCGGCGGTTGGCATCTGGTGAATATCGTGTTAGGATCTTTGTAGGGCTTCAGGAGTTGGACATGGAAGGAATTGTGAATCTTCCAGGTGGCTGGCAGGCGTAAACAGAAGGTAACAGGGGTGACCTGTGCTTCGACGAGAAGGGTCCGCAGAAGCGAGGTCGCTGTTTGGATGGAAGATGACAGATGTCGAGATTGCGGGTGTCGAGTAGCACCTGTGCGATGGCAATCGGCCTGGCGCTTCTGTTGCTGCTGAATGTCAAGGAGACGCTTGTGGGTCCGATCCCAAAGCTGGTGCATGGTCGTGATGAAGTCGTGTGCGGGTTGGAGTGTGGCTGATACTGGTGGTCTCTGTGGTATGAGTGGGTTGCGCCCGTAACAGAGGAAGAACGGCGTCTCTCTGGTAGCGGCGTGAGTGGCGTTGTTGTAGGCAAACTCCAGGACGGGTAGATGCAAGTCCCATTAAGAGATTTCGTCTGTGCAAGCTGCGCGGAGGAGTTGCTCCACAATTTGGTTGAGACGCTCGGTCTGTCCGTCTGTCTGCGGATGGTAGGCGGATGACATGGCGAGTTTGGTCTCGAGCAGAGACATTAGTTCGTTCCAGAACTTGCTGGTGAACTTGGGGTCTCGCTCGAAGATGAGTGTAGTGGGGATGCCGTGCTAGGAGATGATGTAGCGAACAAATAGTTGTGATGTCGCCTCGGTGCGTGCTGTCGTGTGTGCTGGGATGAAGTGTCCCATTTTGGAGAATTTGTCGATGACGACGAGGATTGCGTCATGACCACTTGTGGTAGTTGGTAACCCGGTGATGAAGTCCAAGCTCACCACTTGCCATGGTTGTTCTGGGACAGGAAGAGACTGTAGTAGTCCAGCCTTTTTCTGCTTGCTGCTCTTCATCCGCTGGCACATATCACACGAGGTGACAAACTTCTGTACGTCGGCTGCCATGTGGGGCCAGTAGTAGTGTTTTGCGATACCGGTGAGCATCTTGTTGCTACCAAAGTGTCCCGCATATAGGATATCGTGGTATTCTTCGAGTAGTAACTGGCGCAAAGGAGGGTAATTGGGAACCTAGATTTTCGTTGATCCTTTCCAATAGGCGATGTCATGGTCCCACTGTAGCAGGTGTCGCTTTTCTGCCAAGGGAATTTCGGGGTCAATGGCATACCCATGTGGGTCATGGAGTCCCTTGAGTAGCGGGTTCATCCATTCGACCTAGATAGCAGCAACGTGTGCAGGCCGGCTGAGAGTGTCTGCTTTGTTTTTGTGTCCAGGCTTGTACACGATGTCATAGTGGAAGTGCGTCTCGAGGAAGTCGATCCACCGGACCTGCCGCCTGGAGAGGTTTGGTTTGTGTCTTCAAATATTTCAAGCTGCAGTGGTCGGTGTAGACAGTTTTTTTCCGTCCTTCGAGGTAACACCTCCACGTCTTGAAGGTGATGATGATAGCAAGGGCCTCCTTGTCGTGTATCGGGTAGTTTAGCTCTCCCCCGTGTAATTTCTTGCTGAGGTAGGCGATTGGTTGCTGTCCATCCCCTTGGTCTTGCATCAAGATTGCTCCCACTACCTGGTCGCTAGCGTCAGCTTCGATGACATAGTCGCGTTCGGGGCCTGGCAAAATGACTACAGGCGCGGACGTGAGTGCTTGTTTCAGCTGCTCCACGGCTTCCTGGTGTCTTAGTTCCCACTTATAGGGCATGTTCTTCTTTAGCAGATTCGTGAGTGGTGTCGCGATTTTCGCGTACTGTGCCACCAACCTGTTGTAATACTTAGCAAAGCCTAGGAACTACTGCAACTCCTTCACGTTCTTAGGTGTCTTCCACATGCGTACGGCTTCAATTTTCTTGGGGTCAACGTGAACTCCTTGAGCACTCACCATGTGTCCGAGAAATTGGACTTTCTCAAGGGCGAATTCGCTCTTGGACAATTCGACATAGAATGGCTCTCGTCGAAGAATGTCGAAGACGCGTCGCAAGTGTTCGACGTGCTGTTTCATGTCGCGCGAGTAGATGAGGATGTCGTCCACGTACACCACTACGCATTCATCCAAGACTGGGCATAGAATGTGGTTCATTTTGGCTTGGAACGTTGCTGGTGCACTGGTGAGTCCGAACGGTATTACCAGATACTCGTACAACCCGTACCGAGTTCGGAAGGCAGTTTTGTGGATGGATTTGTCCGCCATTCTTATCTGCCAATATCCGGATCGCAGGTCTAGGTTGAAAAATATTGTTGCTCCCCGAAGCTAGTCAAGCAGGTCATCGATTCGTGGAATCGGGTATTAGTTCTTGATCGTCTGCTTGTTGAACGCTCGGTAATCGATACACATGCGCAGGCTTCCGTCCGGTTTCGGTGAGAAGAGCACTGGGGCACCTTATGGTGAAGTGGATGGTCGGATGAGCCCTTTGGTAAGTAGATACTCGATCTGTTTCTTCATGTTGGCTACCACTGTGGGGCTGAGCCGATATGGTGCTCGGAAGGCCGGCTTCGAACCTGGTTCCTCCACGATCTCGTGTTGATGCGTTCGGTATGGCGGTAGCTCTTCGGAAGGTCGTCGGGAAGAATGTCTTGGAACTCCTTCAGTAAATCCTTGATCTCTTTCAGCGGTTTCGAGGTTTTTTCGTCCTCATCTTCCACATCTGTTGCTATCACCAGGAAACAGGTGTCGGTTCGTTTCACGTCCTTCTCAAATCTGGCGAGTTTCTCCACTGGGATATCTCCTGAATTGTCCCAGTTGGGTAGCGGGACTCTCCTTCCTTTGTTGTAGATGTTTGCAGTACAGTTTACCCTGTTGATCTCAGGGTTGAACCTTTTAAGGAAGTCTCGCCCGAAGATCAAGTCAAGCCCATTTATGTTGGTGATGGGTAGTGCAGATCTCCAGCGCAGTGGTCCGATTTGTAGGTGTAACACTGCTTCGCCGTATACTGGTAACTTGCTGCCGTCCACCATCGTTGTAGAGAATGCTGAAGGCTTGTATACTCCTCGAAGTCGGTCGATTGTTGCCTTATCGCATACGGTGTGTGATGCTCCACTGTCCACAAGTGCTTGGAGGCGTCGCCCTTTGCAGATGACCTCGTGCACGAGGGGCAGGCGTTGGTCGAAGTACCCAAAGATAGTTTCATTGATGGGATCATAGATTACATCCCAGTATTCGTACACACCTTTTCGTTACTATCTTCTCCTGGGCTGACAGCTGGCCGAGGCTGCTTGTAGAAAGGCTCTTCTCCCAGACCCGGAGTCTCTTTGACGACTGTGTGCGTCGTTGATGCCGAAGTTGCTGAGCTGGATGCATCCAAAGGAGGAGTTCGAGGTTTTTGCAGCTTCTTGTAGACCCCCAGCTTCCTCTTGAGCTGCTTCAGCTCCACCGACATCTTCCCTGGGGAGCGGGTAGTCGTTGTGGGCTGGTGTCGGGAGAGGACGCTGTCTCCATGGAAAGGTCGGCTTCTTTCCACACGCCACAGGCGTCGCACGGCCGGCTGCAACCCGACGACGCCGTCACAGAGCGGCATCGATGCCGCAGCAGGACGTCGACGCTGTGACGGCAGCACGGCGGCGCCATCACACCGACCGCGCGCTGTCGCGTAGACGCCGCGGCAGCGTGACGGCGCCGTCACGTCGCCACAGCAGCTTGACGCGACGTCGAAGCCGCGGCACGACGACGCGGCCACAGCAGCTGGACACGGGCGCCATGGACGCGCGAGAGAGGGAGAGAAACAAGCACGCAGCGGAAACGTGAGGAGCAGCCCACAAGGAACGAACTGCTCTGATACCATGTCACAAGACTAGCTTAGCTAGGAAGCCATAGAATGGCACAAGGTATAGTTAGGAGGAGCCATGGAGTGGCATGAGGTTTAGGAAGGAGAAAAGTTGAGGAGAGAAAAGGGATTGGGAATAGAAGAGAGAGGGATACAAGGAGGGGTGTTGTACCCTCTTCTACAGTAAAGTTCAGTAACCTACCAAGCCTAGCAATTATATAACACAATATATAATTTTAACATCTGGTGCCAACACAGCTGATATCTTTATGAAGGCGCTTGCGCCAAAAATCATTAGCGGCACTGTGTACAGCTTGGTCTAGTTCCTGTAGCTTCTCACTTGCTAAGACCCTGATTATGTACTACTTTTTTATTATCTTGTCTTGACTGGCCTTGTGGCTCGTTGTCCCAGTGGCTGGACTAGTAGTACCGCCCTGGTTTGCTCTTGTTTAGCTTGTACTCTTGGTGACTGGTCTTCGGAGCCTTGCCTCAGATGTTGGACTATTATGTCAAGATTATATAAATAATATATAATTGATAGGCTTGATAGTTATTACTGAACCTTTCTGTAGAGGGTACAATCTAATAGTTGTTACTCGTGCCTGGCACTGCCCCTCATCTAGCCTAGGGGGTGTGTAAAACATATTTGTATATGTTATAATAAGCTAGATAGGTGCATGCTCTTAGAGGGTACAACCCCTTAGACAAAACCAACCTGTTTGCCTCATTCTAGTCAACTTTTTACTCTGAGAACATTGCCATCACGTTGCCGTCACATTGCCATCACATTGCCGTCACATTGCCATCACTTAGCCATCACATTGTCCGGACTGAGATCCCGTCCAGTGGCATTTCTGGCACGATGGGCACCACTCCCGCTTCACTGCGCAGCTCTCCATCCGTCCCTCCCTGCAGCACCAACCTCATAGCAGCTGTGAGACGCCAAAGCCGCACACACAGTACCAAACTCCGGAGGGAATCAGCGCAAGTACAGAAAAGGCACAAACCCACCGGGCTCCTCCCTACCAAAAGTAAAACCAGACATTCACAAGCGGGCATCCATGCTTAAGCAATCCCGCTTGCCGGCTGGCACAGAGCTGCATACCTTTCTCTGGGAGGCTTCAGCGGATCGTTGGGGCCAGGAGTTCAAATCAATCAAGCCGCCCCTGCCGTGGTTCCCATCCTCTTGCTTCTGCTGCTGTTGTTGCTGCTGCTGCTGCTGGTGCTGCTGGAACTCGTGTGCTTCTACAGCAGGTGACAGCAGCGCAGGCACCTCATCATCCCCCACTGCTATAGCCACAGCAGGAGCATCACTCACATTACCCATCACCATGCTCCGACCCCCCCCCTCCTCACCTCCTCTCCCTGCCCCACCCCCTGCTCTTCCAGCCCCCATCCCAGCCCCCACCCCAGCCCCCATTCCTACCCCCATCCCACCAGCTCCAGAACGCAAACCAAACCTGTTTCCTCCTGCCGCCCCCACCTCTCCCCTTCCCTCAACCGCAGCCCCGCTGCCCCCTTCCCCTCCACTCCCGCCCTTGGCCACATTCAGAGTCAGCGCCTGCATTGTCCCTGTTGCCATCCCTGTCATCCCTCCCGACCCCCCCCCTCCCCCTGTCCCTGTCCCTGTCCCTCCCCTTGCTGTCTCTACCCCTTCCACCCCTGACCGCCCTTCGCCCCCATGGGTTAGGAGCACCACGCTCATAGGGGTTGGCTCATAGTCACCCGCCACGACCTCCCCTCCCTGCTGTGTATGCATTGCCTTGTCCTCTCCTCCTCTCCCTCCTCCTCCTCCTCCCACTCCACCTCCCCTTCTACCGTTCCCACCCAGTAGTTGAGCATCCCTTTCAGCGGCTGCAGCAGCAGCAGCAGCGGCAGCAGCAGCACCACCAGCACCGCCAACACCAGCACCGCCGGCACCCTCACCAACACCTCTGTCCGCCCCTCCCTCTCCAGTTCCCCCAACACCCTCCGCTCCCCTCTGCCACTGGCCAGCCAGCAGATTACCCTTCCCTGCATTGTTACCCATGTTACCATTCCCCATGTTACCACCTCCCATATCCGCGTCGCCCATGTTACCAGCACGGTTACCAGTGGGGTTACCACCTGCCCCCCCATGCGCCTCTGGTGGGAGGGGATGATCCGGAGCACCCCCCCCTGGGGAGGGAAGGGCGGGCTGATTGGGGTCTTCCGCCATGATAGGGGGGTTCTTCGGGAGCTGTGAGGGGAAGGGGGATGGGGGAAAAGAGGGGGGGGAGGGGGATAGAAGAGAAATGGGCAAAACGGGTGGGGAGAAAATGGGAAATGGGAGGTGTAACGTACTGGGGAGGGTAGGGCGGAATGATTGGGGTCTTCCGCCAGGGTAGGGGGGTTCCGCAGGAGCTGTGAGGGGGAAAGGGGGCTGGAGCAGCGAGCGATGCAGGGGGGACGGAGCGGAGACCAGGGGGTGTGTGAGTGGGGACCAGGGAGGGTGGGGACCAGGGAGGGTGGGGACCAGGGGTGTGGGGGGAAAAAAGCGGAGCTTGACGGACGGAGTTTGACAGACGGAGTTGGAAACTTTCAGCCTTGTGGTGCTTCGAAACTTGTAGACGAGGCTCACCTCCACCCGCTGCCCCATGAGCAGGTACCGCTTGTGCGCCTTCTTGCTCCCCTCGTGTGCCCGTCTGGAGCCCCTCTGAGCACCCCCCCCGCAGTACTGATCTCACCTCCACCCGCTGCCCCATGAGCAGGTAGCGCTCGTGCGCCTTCTTGCCCCCTATGTGCACGTCCAGGTCGCACTGCAGGCACAGCGACGTGCCATCCACCGCGCAGTAGAAGAACGCTGCAGTGAGGGAGGAGGGATGGGGGAGAAAGGGGCGGAGGGTGGAGGGGGAGAGGGGGGGGGGATGACTGTTGAACAAACTGGCAGGCATGCCTATGTGCGTCCAGGTCGCACTGCAGGCACATAGACGTGCCATCCATAGCGCAGTAGAAGATCGCTGCAGTGAGGGGGGAGGGGAGGTGGAGGAATGCAAGATGGCTAGCCGCATTGGAGGCACATGGACGTGCCGTCCATAGCGCAGGAGAAGAACGCCGCTACAGCCACACCGCTACAGCCACACCGCAACATCAGGAGATGGTAGTAGGGGGAACAGCGGGGCGGGGGGGGGAGGATGGGCAGAGGGTGGAGGGTGGGGAGGAAGAGAGGAGGAAGGGCCGGCCGCAGAGGATTGAAAATGCCAGCGGATGGATGCATAACTCTCGTAACTACCTATCTGTCCTTCCCCACCCCTTCCCATACCCTTCCACCCCTTCCCATACCCTTCCACCCCCTCCCATACCCTTCCACCCCCTCCCATACCCTTCCATCCCTTCCCGCCCCTTCACCAGCCCTCCCCTCTTCCCCACCCTGCACATACTCGCTAGCAGCAATCCCGTTATAAGCAGTCCCACTCACCAGGGGCGTTTTCGCAAATGTCACAGCGGGGGATGGCGCGAGCCTCTGCCAGTTCCAGGCGCACATGGCGGCTGGCGAGCTTGTTGCAGCCGTGCACCTGCGAGGCGGGAAGGGGGAGGGGGGAGGGGGGAGGGGGAGAGGGGAGGGGGGAGGGGGGACTCAGAAAGTCAAGGTGCCTGGGGGTGAAGGGCTTTAATCTTCACCACCCTGAGTAGTGAGGAGCAGGTACTGAGACTGCGAGACTGCGTGGGCGAGAAAATGTACTGTCGGTACTGAGTGTTACCTTGTTGTCGCACGCCAGGCAGAGCGCCGCCTCATCAGCAGCGCAGAACACCTTGGCGGGTGCCGCCTCGCACACGTCGCACAGGATGCGCATTGCTGCCTGCTGCGGCGCGCTGCGGGGTGCTGTGCGGTACTGGGGTGCTGCCTTTCTGCTGCCAGCCGCTGCGTGCGCCTTGAAATGCTCTCAGGTGAGTGAGAGTTGAAGGGGGCGTGGCGCAGCCGGGTGGTGCAAGCGTCGTGTTGCCCCCTCGACCGGACACGTTGAGCTGGAAGACAGCTGTTAAGACGGCTGGTAAGACGGTTGACTGACAGAAGGTTGTTCGTCCGCTCCGACAGTCAAAGCCAGGAGCCGGAATCTCCTCTCGAGCGTTCGGGGCGAGTGTTGGTTAGGAGCAGTGCACTGGCTGCACGGGCCGGGCACGGCGGCTCGCCAAGGAAGGCTAGGGCGTGGTGCACTGATTTGCGCTTGAAAAGGCGCAAATAGTTGCTGTTTTGGCGAAGTTTTTTGCCCGTAGCCGCGTGACTTGCGAAGGGTACTCGAAATGTTCACTAAAATCGTAACCAGCCCGGATTGCGCAACTCGGGCGAGTTGTGCAGAGTATGTGCACCACGCCCTTAGGCGAGTGCTAATTGGGAGTGCTAGGAAGGAGTAAAGTTCGCCTACATACGAGGAAAGAGGAATTTGTTGAAGGAGGGAAGTAAAGCGGAGAGCATCTTAGAGTGCAGCGTTGTGAGTGAATTATGCGGGAGAGAATGCTACTGTCACAGTACTAGTAACTGGAAGCAACTACGATGCTGGCTAAACATTCACACGTCGAGCAGGAGCATTCCTGGTCGCATTTTTGTCGCACTGGTCGCATTGGTCGCATACTTTGTCGCATTCCCACGCGGCGTGGCGATCGCAAGCGAGGGACGCTGGTGCAATGCGAGGGGTTTTCTTTCAGTGACTCATCACGGAATTCGGGATTTTTCCTTCCTTGCTGTCAAGCGGAGCGCAATGCTCGTATTGACGCGCCCTAAAACCGCGTGATCAGGAATCAAATCGCTATTAGGGGACACGTGAGTGGGCATTCTTGGTGCGTACAACCTCCTAGGCCGAAACTGGCTTCCCAGAACAGCATTGCCCAGTGCCTACTAGTCAATGTCTGTCACTTGACACACAAGGACAAATCTCACCAGGCGATGAGGAAAGACGAGACTAGTGGTCTAAACTAATCTGCAATGGAAGATGACGTGGATTCACGTGATGGCTGGGCTGTACAGGACCCCGCAAACAGATTTGAATTAATTCAAGAAGGATTGGCTAAAATTGAGCAGCAATGAGAAGGTGACCCGCTGTAAATCTAGGAAGATTGTCTGGTGTTTGAAGGCTGTGGCTGAGCTAGAGCGTCTTGGAGAGCGTGCAGCTATGGCTACTTCGTGATGGCTATATCATTCTGGTGGCTGAGAGCTGCTCTTGGGACTATCAGCACCATCATGGGGAAGTGCTCTCGAAGGGTAATTTTACCTTGTAATTGCCAAGATTGAACGGGTACTCTCCGAAAAAAACGAATTATCTCGTCAATTTGAGCAGCGAAGGCTAAGTAGATACGAAATCTACTGCGCTGTAGCTTAGTGCTAGGCGGTAAAAAAAATTCCTCGGCCCCCTCCCGGATGGAAGCGCGTTACAGAGTGCAGCACGGCGGCGAGCCACAAAACATGAGGCTGTTCACGTGACACCAAAGTTCTCAGGGATGACAGTGTGCCACGCTGGCGAAAAAGAACCACCTCATGTTGCGTGGCCTCTGCGCATCACAACATTTTCCCCCGCGTTTTCTGGCAAAAGAGGTTTTCGCCTCCAGAAAAGGAGGTCAAAAAAACACGACGCGATATAGCCTTGACCCCTGAGAGAGTTCACATGCAATTTTGTTCATAACTTGTTTTCCATCTAACGCTGTCGTACTTCCTAGTTCTTTCTTGCGGACGGACGTTTGCTTGCACATATGGTTAGCTGTGCAATATGACGAGGCTCCACACAGACGGAAAATGTAGCCATCAACGTGTCAGTGCGATCGGATAGGTTGGATACGCTAGTTGGGATGGAAGGCGTGGGAGGGATGCCTTGTCAAATATATGTATAACTCATATTTGTATAGACTGTATAGGGTCACCTCTTAGAGGGTACAACACTCTTAGGTAAATACCCTTGTTCTCTCTCTCTATTCAACACTTGTTCAATTTTCTTCTCGACATGGTATCACCCGTAGGTTCGATCCCCCCCCCCCCTCCACCTACCGCTTCCGCCCGTGCCTCCTAGACCCCGTCGCGCTTTCACCTAGGCCCCGTCGCGCCGCCCCCACCTAGGCCCGTCGCGCCCCTCCTGGGCCCCTATCGCGCCTCCTAGCCCGTCACGCCCCTCCTGGGCCCCTGCCACGCCTCCTAGGCCCTGTTGCGCCTCCTAACCTGTCGCGCCCCTCCTGGGCCCCTGTCGTGCCCCCTAGCCCGTCGCGCCCCTCTTGGGCCCCTGCCACGCCTTCTAGCCCGTCGTGCCCCTCCTGGGCCCCTCGTGCCTCCTAGGCCCCGTCGCACCTCGCCTGGGCCCCGTGCGCTTCCTAGCCCGTCGCGCCCCTCCTGGGCCCCTCGTGCCTCCTAGCACCCGCCGCGCCTGCCTGGCCCCGTCGCGCCTGCCTGGCCTCGCCGCGCCTGCCTGGCCCTGCCGCGCCTCCTGGCCCCGCCGCGCCTGCCTCGCCCTGCCGCGCCTCCTGGCCCTGCCGCGCCTGCCTGGCCCCGCCGCGCCTGCCTGGCCCCGCCGCCCCTGCCTGGCCCCGCCGCGCCTGCCTGGCCCCGCCGCGCCTGCCTGGCCCCGCCGCCCCTGCCTGGCCCCGCCGCGCCTGCCTGGCCCCGTCGCGCCTGCCTGGCCCCGCCGCGCCTGTCTGGCCCCGCTGCGCCTGCCTGGCCCTGCCGCGCCTCCTGGCCCCGCCGCCTGCCTCGCCCTGCCGCGCCTCCTGGCCCTGCTGCGCCTGCCTGGCCCCGCCGCGCTGCCTGGCCCCGCCGCGCCTGCCTGGCCCTGCCGCGCCTCCTGGCCCCGCCGCCCCTGCCTGGCCCGTCGCGCCTGCCTGGCCCTGCCGCGCCTCCTGGCCCCGCCGCCCCTGCCTGGCCCCGTCGCGCCTGCCTGGCCCCGCCGCGCCTGCCTGGCCCCGCCAGCACCTGCCTGGCCCCTTCGCCCCGGCTCGTCCTGCCGTGCCGCCGCAGGCTCCGTCTCCTCTGCTCGCCCGTGCTGAGGCGCTTCGCGGCCGCCGTGCTGGAGGGGGCTGTCGTTGTGTTCCTGTGGAGCTGTGCCGCTGACCCTACCCGATGGCGGACTTCCTGCTCCGACTGGACGCCGAGGCCCATGCGGTTGACTTCGCCGCCTGGCTCTCCGATCTCCGCCGCCACCTTACAGGTCAGCGCCAGGATGGCCACTCTTTGGTTGTCCATGTCGACGGCTTGCTCCCCCGCCCCCTCGCACCTGCTCCCCTCCCTGCTGATCCCTCCTCTGATGACCGTGAGACCTTCTCTACTGCTGCGCTTGCCCGTGCGGTCTGGGACTCCCGCGATGCAGTCGCTCAGGTTGCCATTAGCCACGCCCTCCCTGTCTCTGAGCACTCGCGTTTGGCTACTATTGAGACGGCCAAAGCTTACTTAGATACTGTTATTGCCCGCTATTCCACACCCGCGTCTGCTTCTGCTGGTCGCCTGCTCTTCCCTATGCTTTTCCCAGACCTTGCAGCTTTCCCTACCGTCGCCGATTTTTCCACTCACCTGCGTGCCCTAGAGGCCCGCTATCGCACTGCCAGCACTGCTGCCCACCTCACTGGGCTTCCCCCCTCCTTTCTGCATGACGCTCTATTTTATCGCCATGCGCCTGCCAGACCACCTCGCTAGTGCTCGCGATCACTTCCTTAGCCTGCACCCGGCTGACCTCACTCTCACTGCCTTTGTCGACACCCTCACCGAGATCGAGACTCGCCAGCGCACTATCGCTTAGTCGAGCGGTGCGCCGGCAGTCTCTATCTTTCACGGCTGTGCCCCCTCCCAGTGCACGTTCACTGACGTTTCGCCTGCGGTCGCCACGGAGACCCCCCTCACTGAGACGGCTGCTGCGGTCCACCCGCAGCAGCACTCGCGCCGCGGTGGCCGTGGTCGCCAGGGTGGTAGGGGTGGTGGTGCAGGTAGTGGTGTTGGTGGTCGTGAGAGTAGTCCGTCTGGGGGGACTAGCATTGGTGGTCAGGAGCAGCAGCCCCAGCCGCAGCCGCCGTCCCAGCAGCAGCCGCCGTCCCAGCCGCAGCCCCCGCAGCAGTGGGCTCGCCTCCCGCCTGGTTGGCCCGGCACCTCAGGAGGTGGTGGCAGTGGTGGCGGCCCGCGCAGCTTGGCGTCTACCAGCGGCTCCGGTGCTGTGACTTGTCAGTACCAGCTTCAGACCGAGCCCCTTCGCGGCACTCTGTGCCGCCGCCCGCACCCGACTGCCCGCTGTTTCCGCCGCCTTGACGATCTGTTTCGTCGTCGCTTTGGCTCGGCCCCGGACCTCCCTGACTGGCACAGCCTGCTCCGCCAGGGCGTGCCGATCTTTGAGTTAGATATGGATCAGATAGGTGTTGCTTTGCATGCCTTGTATTCGGACGCTGCTAATGTTGCTGGATCTTATTACCCTGTGTTCTCTAGTTTAGGTGTTGCACCGTTGTGTAGCCTAGCCTCCCCTGCTGCGTCAGGCGTAGGACTGCCTAGTTTGTCTAGCCTCGTCTCTGCACCAGATCCGTTTCCTGCCCCCGCCACTGCGGCGCTGTTCTTCACTCTCGACTCCGGTGCTTCTGCCTGCTTCTTCCGCGACCCTTCCGCGCTCACGCCGCTTGCTACGCCAGCTGTTGTCTCTCTCGCTGACCCCTCTGCGGGTCCTGTCCTCGCTCGCAGTTCTACGTCCCTTCCCTGTCCCGCAGTTCCGTTGGGCTCCCTAACAGGCCTCCACGTTCCCTCATTCTCGAGGAACCTGGTTGGTGTCGGCTGTCTCCAGGACCTCGGCGTCACCACCACGTTCCCCGGGCACGAGCGGTCTGCTGTCTGTTCTGAGTCTGTCTCAGGTTCCCCCCTTGCGACGTTCCCCCGGGACCCGGTGTCCGGTCTGTTTACCCTAGACACCGCTTCCCCTCCGGTTGGTGCGTCCCCCCAGGTTGCTGCAGCTTGCTCGTGCCCGATGTTCTTCTCCCGTGGGTTGTGGCTGCGCGTCTCCACCGTGGTCTACCCGTGTTGTGTCTCCACTCCGACCGTGGCGGCGAGTTCGCCTCTGGTCGGCCTGGACAGTTCTGTCGTGCGGAGGGCATTACCCAGTCGTACACCTTGCCGGACTCGCCACAACAGAATGGGGTTGCTGAGCGCCGCATCGGCTTGGTCATGGAGGTCGCCCGTACCTCCATGATTCATGCCGATGCCCCCCATTTTCTGTGGCCGTTCGCTGTTTGCTACGCTGCTCACCAGCTTAACCTGTGGCCACACTCCCAGCGGCCGCAGGTTTCGCGGACCCTCCCGTGGACCGGGTCCCCCGGTGACGCGTCTGCGTCCCACGTCTGGGGCTGCCTTGCTCACGTTCGTGCCTCTGGCACGGACAAGCTCACTGCCCGCACTGTCCCCTGTGTCTACCTCGGTTTCCCCCTGGACTCGTCTGAGTGGCTTTTCTATCACCCGCCATCTCACCGCTTCCTCCACTCTCGTGACGTTACCTTTGACGAGTCAGTCTCCTTCTACCGCCGCTTCCCTCACCGAGGTCTCCGAGTTGCCCCCCCCCTGTTCCTTGCTCCCTCTCCCCCGGTAGCCCCTGCCCCTCTCCCGCCTCGTCCTGCCCCGTCTGGTGTCTCTCACGTCACTCCCCTCCCGTCGGTTGTCCCCGTTGAGGAGTCTGCTGACTCTGGTGGTACCCCCGGTCTGTCCTTGCCGCGTCCCCCTTCTCCGGTGCCTCCGCCCCCACTGTCGTAGTCGCCGACCCCGCTGTAGCCGCCGCCGCCGTCGCCGCTGTTGCCGCCGCCGCAGCCGTCGCCGCCGCAGTCGTCGCCGCCACTGCCGCTACCGCTCTTGGCCACTAGGGGTGCTGGTGTGGAGGAGGGTGTTCGTCCTGCGGCTTTTGGGGGTGCCGCTGGTGTTGGAGGGGGTTCTCGCTCTGGAGGTGTTGGTTCTGGGGGTGCTGCTGTTGAGTGTTCTGCCGACGGTCATTCTGCCTTTGCTGGTCTGCGAGTTCCGGCCCAGCCGTCGTCGCCGCCGCAGCAGCCGTCGCCGCCTGTCTCCGCTCTCCGCCTGCTCGGCCTTCCCTCCCCGGACCGCGCAACGGTGCTGACCTTCCTGTCTACGGTCCTGTGTTCCCGCCGCCAGACTCGTTTCAGGCCCGTCTTCCTCCTCGTTCCCCTCCTGTGTCTCCTCCCCTGTCCCCTGACCCTACACCTCCGTCTCACGTTTGGGCTCGCCGTCCCTCCCGTGCTCGTCCCGTCTCTCCTGTCCTGCCCACCCACCCTATGTTGCTCCGTTCCCGCTCGTCTCGTCCTCCCCTCCTCCCGTCCCCTCCTCCCTCGTCCCTTGCTGTTGCACCTCCTCCGTTCTCTGACTACTTCCGTGCTGCTCGTCCCCTTGTTCCTCGGGTCCTTGCCTCTCTTGTTACCGACCCTGCTGTTCCTGTCTCGCGCCTTGACGCGCTTGTCGCTGCTGTCGCTGACTTTGCCTCTACCCGCCGCCTTGACTACGCTACCGCTCTGGTCTCTGACCCTGCCCGTCCTCCGTCCGTCGGGGGTGCTCCTGCCCTTGGCAGTAACGTCCTAGAGGACAGGCAGTACGAGCTTGCTTTCCTTTCCGAGGCTGCTCCCCATCTCTGCTCCATGCTGTTAGTCCCTAAGGGTGACCCAGACGATTCAAGATCCCGACCCCTCGCACCTACGCTGAGGCCACCTCGGGACCTTGGGCCTCTCAGTGGATAGCTGCCATGGAGCAGGAGATGGCATCTTGGAGGTCCACAGGCACTTACGTCGACGCAGTTCCCCCGCCTGGGGTGAACGTAGTCGATGGTTGGTGGCTCTTCAAGGTGAAGCGCCCCCCTGGAGAGCCGCCTGTCTTCAAGGCGCGCTACGTGGCCAAATGTTTCAGTCAGCGCGAGGGGGTTGACTTCTTCCAGACCTTCGCCCCGACCCCGAAGATGACCACTCTTCGGGCGCTGCTACACGTAGCAGCACAGCTTGACTACGAGCTACACTCCATCGACTTCTCTACTGCCTTTCTTCAGGGCAGCCTACACGAGCAGGTCTACCTGCGCCGACCACAGGGCTTCACTGGTACCTTCCCTCCTGGGACCCAGTGGCTTCTCAGGCGCCCGGTCTACGGCCTGCGTCAGGCTCTCCGCGAGTGGCACGTTAGCAGACCTGCAGTTCTTTCCGTCCTCTGCTGACCCTTCACTGTTTGTGCGTTCCGGCCAGACTCCGTTCTACATCCTTGTCTACGTAGATGACCTGGTCTTTGCTACTCCTGACAGGGACGCACTGGCCTCTGTGAAGACTGAGCTGCTGAAGAAACACACCTGCACTGACCTTGGAGAGCTGCGTCACTATCTTGGTCTGCAGATCTCTAGGGACAGAGCAGCACGCACCATCACTCTGACCCAGTCACACTTGGTGCGTCAGGTCCTTCAGAGGTTCGGTCTTCAGTTCTCCTCTGCACAGCCCACACCTCTACCTGTAGACCACGGGCTTTCCGCTCCTGTTCCTGAGGAGTCAATAGAGCCCAGCGGTCCCTACGCAGAGCTGGTGGGTTGCCTCATGTACCTGATGACCTGCACTCGCCCAGATCTCGCATACCCGCTCAGCATCCTGGCTTGCTTTGTGGCCACTGGCAGACACCGACCACAGCACTGGTCGGCCGCTAAGAGGGTTTTGCGATATCTAGCAAGTACATCAGGCATGGGGTTAGTGTTAGGAGGACGCAGGCCAGTGGTCCTCACTGTGCACACAGACGCTTCTTGGGCAGACGACTCTGAGACGCTCAGGTCGTCGCAGGGCTACTGTTTTAGCCTTGGTTCGGGTGCTATCTCTTGGAGATCCACTCGCTCGTCGTCTGTTGCTCAGTCGAGCTGTAAGGCTGAGATCTACGCTGGTGCCATGGCGGCACAGGAGCTCCGCTGGCTGACCTTCTTGCTCACAGACTTAGGTGAGCGGCCTAGTTCTGCCCCGGTCCTGTACGCTGACAACAGGGCCATGATACTCCTGTGTCAGGAGCCTCGACTTGAGGGCAGAGCGAACATTCAGCTGCGGTACTTCCTCCTGCGCGAGCTACAGTAGCGCCGTCAGGCCCGCGTAGTTCACTTGGCCTCTGGTGCCAACACAGCTGATATCTTTACGAAGGCGCTTGCGCCTAAAGATCATCAGCGGCACAGTGTACAGCTCGGTCTAGTTTTTGTTGTTGAGTGACCCGCTGGGGTTGCCCTTGAGATCCTCGGGGAAGGGCCACAGGTGCAGAGCCTGGGGGGCTATGGGCGCAGTAACCCGCTATTAACAAGCCCTTTTAACCCAGTGGTTAGTGACTGGGTTTCTGACATGGTATCAGAGCCAAAGGTCTTGGGTTCAACTCCCAGTGCCAGCGCTACAGAGGCACTCGTGTCTTCCACCTATCCCAGCGGGGGGGGGGGGTGTTGAGTGACCTGCTGGGGTTGCCCTTGAGATCCTCGGGGAAGGGCCACAGGTGCAGAGCCTGGGGGGCTATGGGCGCACTAACCCGCTATTAACAAGCCCTTTTAACCCTGTGGTTAGTGACTGGGTTTCCGACACCTGTAGCCTCTCACTTGCTAGTACCTTGACTTTGTACTGTCCTATATATATCTATATATGTACTCAGACTGGACTTGTGTCCTCTCCCAGTGGCTGGACTAGTAGTATCGCCCTGGTCTTGTTCTTGTCTTGCCTGTACCCCTTTTGACTGGTCTTTAGACCCTTGTCTCAGTGGCTGGACTAGTCGTGCCGCCCCGAGCTGCTTGTTCAGGATTTGCCCCTATGCAATCTAGGGGGTGTGTCAAATATATGTATAACTCATATTTGTATAGACTGTATAGGGTCACCTCTTAGAGGGTACAACACTCTTAGGTATATACCCTTGTTCTCTCTCTCTATTCAACACTTGTTCAATTTTCTTCTCGACATGCCTGCCTCTCTCCTTCAGTAAGTGATTCGTGGGAAACCGACAAATAGGTAACGTCAAAGAGATGCTTCGTTAAATTTTTTCAGAAGCCTGCAGTATGCTACAGTACCACACACGCTGCAATCTGGAGTCGAATTTCCCCTTCAAATTCCAGGAAGCCTGCAAGAGGCTACAGAACCAAGTGCCTTGATCTGCAATTTCTCGGTCCTCGAACCAATGATCGAGAGCTTGTCGCTGACTTGAAAGGGATCGGCGTAGAATGCCGGGTCAGAGGGGTATCCCTTCTGCATAAGAGGAGGAGGCAGGAAGGGGACAGAAGCCGTGGGGGACAGAAGGGCGAAGTGGATACTGAGCTTCTCTGCCCTGAAAGAGACGAGGGAGAGCTTGCCACTGAACATGAAAGCGGCCTGAGTAAATGGCAGGATCGGAGGGGTACTCCTTCTGCTTGGCGGCAGGAAAGGGGGAAGAGGAGGGATGAGAGGGTGAAACCAGGGAAAGCACACGGAGTGAGAAACAGGGTGGGGGATGGGGGCAGAAGCACCCCAGGGTGAAGGCAAGAAAGAGGGGTGGGGGGAGGGGGAGGGGAGGGGGGAGAGAAGGGGAGCAGGACAGAGCAAAACGCTAATGAATTGTGCGGTGGAAAAGCGGAGAAAAAAAGCACAGGGGAGCTGGCAGTGGATGCACTTACAGCAGCAAGTGCAGCAAAGGTGTTTTCTCGTTCGGTATACTCTCGAATGACCAAAGGAAAGCCGACCTTGTGCTCCTCCTCAGCCCTGTGTTGCCCCGGTTTTTCATCCTGCTGCTGGTTGGCACGAAGTGTAGGTCCTGGTGCAGCAGCAGTTGCAGCACCAGCAACAGCAGAAGCAGCATCTGCTGCCGCAGTGTGGGCTGCTGCCGCTGCTGCTGTTGCAAGGCTGGGTACCGCTTGGCTTGCGGAATGTGGGCAAACCAGGGCAGAAGGTTGAAAGGCGGCGTTGAGGGGAATGTGGAGTGAAGTGGGAGCAGGCGTGGGAGGCGGAGAGTGGAAGGCGCAGAAGAGGCGAGAGTCTCGCAATCGCATGAGAGCCCCGTCCACACGCAACTTAGGGGCGGCCGGGAGAAAGGAACACGGGGAGGGGGGAAAGGGAGTGGGAACTGGAAAGGTGGTGTGTGGGTGCAGGAATGGACTGACTTTTGAGTCAACTTAAAAGCTGGTGGGTGGGAGTGATGGGAGTGATGGGAGTGGGTGCGATGGGAGTGGGTGCGATGGGAGTGAGTGCGATGGACATGTGAAGACGTGAGTGATGAGGGATGGTGTGAAAGACCAGCGACAGTGTGTGAGTGACGAGAGATGGTGCAATGGACACCTCAAGGGGTTAGCAGTGAGGGATGGTGCGAAGACTCACCCAGAAGCGAAGGAGGATGAACCAGCATGCTGGCATCACCCTCTGCTCCCAGGATGATACACAAGGAAAAGAGAAGAATGATGGGGGAAAGAGAAGAGATATAGATTGTATGAGTGATGACTAACTGAAACACACCAGTAACAAAAGTGAGGATGAACCGACAATTCGGCCCACCCTCTCTTTACAGGCGATACACATGCAAACGAGGAGGATGATGAGGGAGGTGGGGGAGATTCTTCAGCAGTTAGTGGATAACAAACTGGAAATACATAGTTGAATGCACGGATGCCAGGTTGCTAGAGCGTGCCAGAATGTTCTGGCACCTATGGATGGTCTCGACTTGACTCTATATGTGGCTACACTTGGTTTACAGCTCTGTGTGGGAACAGCGCATGCACGCACTCGCCAGCAATTAATTTTTAGGAGACTAAAAAATCGACAATCCGTCACGACTTTGTGTGGGAACAGCACACGTAACACTCGCCAGCAATGCTCTAATCGCCAACAGCACTCGTTAACGACCTCGACTCAAGGAGCCAAGAAACTCGCATCAAATCTTCTATAAGCACATCTTCTATAGGGCATCTTCTATAAGCACATCTTCTATAAGAACAGCTTCTTCTGGCACTGCAGCAACAACAAGGAAGACGTGCATGCATGCACTACCAAATCCTTGGCTCGCTGGAATGAAGGTCGCGGGCGAGCATACTTGTGCTGCTCTCACACAATGTCGTACACCCAGTGCCAGTGAAGGCACAACCTAAGAGAACAGGGAGCCACAATGCCGTACACCCAGTGCAGCCGGCCAGAACAACCTAAGAGCCTCTACTTGCTGGATTTTGTGGGTTTGATTTGACTCTTGTTCTGCAATTCTCTTGCACAGCTGTTCCCAGCTCTGGCAACGAGCAGAGAACGAACATTGTAGGCCAATTGATTCCTCTGCAACACCACTTGGGTGAATATACAAGGGGAGAAAGAGCGGGGAAGGAGGGAGGGGGTGGGGAGAGGAGGGAAGAGCGGGAAGAGGGAGCGGGACGGGACGAGGACGGAAGAGGGAGCGGCAGGGGGAGGTGGAGGTGGGGGTGCAACTTACAGCTCTGACGGTGAGCAGAGAAATGCCATTGTCTGCCAACTCGTCCTCGTACAGCACCACCTGATGTGGAACAGAGGGATGGGATGGGGGGTAGGCTTGAGCAACATGTACAACATGTACCATGCACCTTCCTTTGAGGCCGATTTGTCCTCGTACAACACCACCTGATGTGGGGCGGAGGGATAGGGGCGCAACAGAGGTGGGAGTGGGGCCAGGGTAGAGAGAGGAGGGAAGAGGGGTGGTCTGACGTCGGTGAGCAGGGAAGTGACACTGTCGGCCAACTCGTCCTCGTACAGCACAACACCACCTGATGTGAGGAGGAGGGGTGGGGGCGGAAGGGTAGATGGATGACAGGTGGGCTGCGGGGGCGGAAGGGTAGATGGATGACAGGTGGGCTGCGGGGGCGGAAGGGTAGATGGATGACAGGTGGGCTGCGGGGGCGGAAGGGTAGATGGATGACAGGTGGGCTGCGGGGGCGGAAGGGTAGATGGATGACAGGTGGGCTGCGGGGGCGGAAGGGTAGATGGATGACAGGTGGGCTGCGGGGGCGGAAGGGTAGATGGATGACAGGTGGGCTGCGGGGGCGGAAGGGTAGATGGATGACAGGTGGGCTGCGGGGGCGGAAGGGTAGATGGATGACAGGTGAGCTGCGGGGGCGGAAGGGTAGATAGGACAGGCATGTTGACACGTTGGAGCGAGGGGAGAGGGAGAGAGAGAGATACCATGTACCTTCCTTCTAGGCCAATTCTCCCGCGTACAACATTACCTGGTAGGGCATAAGCAGCCACGAGTGGGGGGAACGAGATAGACGAGAGGAAAGCAGGACAGAAGTGGGGGAAGAGGGACCAGTGGAGAGGCAGGAGGGAGAGATCACTGACAAAGAACACGCTAGATTGTTCTTTGTCTTTCCTTGCAACATGGAGAGAATTTTAATTCAACCCAAAAGTCACCACTTCAGGCGTGTTTGAGACGACTCAAAACACACACTGACTAAAAAGGCACCACTTCATCCCAACCACCCATCTCTACCTCATCGGAGAAAAGGATGGGGTCCCGACGCTGCAGCATGGCCCAGTCAATGCCCTCGCCCTCACACGCCACCCACTCCGCCTCCCACTCCCCTTCCCCTGCGTCCGAACACCCTCTGTCTTCCCCTTCCTCCAGCTCCCGCCTCTCCTCCAACTGCCCTCTCTCCTTCCCCTGCTGCTTGCTACCCTCTTCCCTTCCACCTGCACCTTCACCACCACCAGCTGCTGCAGCAGCCGCCGTAGGAGCAGCAGCAGCAACAGCAGCACCCCCAACAGCAGCAGCAGCATTCTCCAAATCTGTGGAGGCAGCAGACCCGGGCCAAACAGCCTGAACCTCCCTCACCACCGTGGCTTCCTCCCCTGCCCCCTCCACCTCTCCCTCTCTCACCCCGTCTGCTCCCTCTGCTCTCACTGGCACCCCCGGGCCTCCTCCCCCTCCACTTTCTCCCCCTCCTCCTGATCTCGCTACGGGTTCCCCCCTTCCGTTCTGCTCCCTTCCTACTCCACCCCCTCCTACCGCTTCCTCCCCTTCAGGCCCCCTTGTGCTGCTGCTGCTGCTGCTGCTGCTGCTGATGCTGATGTCAGCAACACGTGAAGCGAGGGGTGTGCTGACGCCAGCAACTGCGCTGCTGGTGTGGGTGGTGGTCGTGCTGCTGTTGTTGCTGGTCGGGCTGTTGGCCGAAGGGGAAGAGGTGCTAATAACAGAGCCGCAGTAGGGAGTGGTGAAGGTGTAGTCGTAGTCCAAAATGAGGTCGGTGGATGGACGGCTGAGGGGGTGGCGTGGGGTGGGGTGGGGTGGGATGGGATAAGGGAGTTACAGCAAGCAAGGGCAAGGGACAATGGAGCTGCAGTAGGGAGTGGTGAAGGTGTAGTCTTAGTCCAATATGAGGTCGGTGGATGGACGGCTGAGGGGGTTGGGATGGGATGTGAGATTTACAACAAGGAGCGGCACATGGCAATAGAGGTGTGGCATGGGATGCGATGAGAGTGGGATGGGATGGGATGGGATGGGATGGGATGGGATGGGATGGGATGGGATGGGATGGGATGGGATGGGATGGGATGGGATGGGATGGGATGGGATGGGATGGGATGGGATGGGATGGGATGGGATGGGATGGGATGGGATGGGATGGGATGGGATGGGCTGTGTGTGATGGATTGGAATGGGAAAGGTATACGGAAGGACGACACGGCGAACGAAAAATAAGAGGGGACCTGGCAGAGGCGAGGGGAAGAAGCGGACGCAGAGGCGGATGGGAGAGAGATCCTTCATAAGCCAAAGCCAAGGAGAGACGATTTATAAGCCAAAGCCAAGACGCTTAAGGCGCCTCTAAGGCACGGAGTCAAAGCAGCGCACGCCAAAACTCCCCATTCCCTCCAACAAGCAGCCGTGCCCTGTGCTTCCTAGCTGGAGATTTGTTTGTTTTGGAAGTGGAGTTTTCTTTAAAAAAACGTCTTTTTTCCCAAAAACGATTGTATATTACGATCATATTAAACGGCCTGTATTATACTCCAACCGTATTTTTGCACCTTGCTCTCAGCGCCTCAAGACCTTCCACTAACTCCCCTTACCTCCTCTTGACTCACCCTAAATCCTGCCCCGCTCCTTAGCCCCTTCACACATCCCTCCCCCCTAACCACCCCCTACCCTGCCCCCCCTCTCACTCACCTTCTCTTCCCCCAGGCAGCAGCAGCTGGCACCTTCACCGGTTGCAGCCTCCCCGCCTTCCACCCTCTAAGCGCCTCCAGCGCCCCAAACTGCACGCCCACGCCCGTGGCCAGATGCTGCACTCGGAGGAAGCTGCGGCCAAACACCATCTCGGGCAGCCACTGAGACGACAAAGACGCCTGCCACCTGGGAAGGGGAAGGGAGATGAGGGAGGCAGCGGAGGAAGAGGAGTGGGAGGGGAGGGAGGGAAGCAAAAGCGCCTCCAGCGCCCCAAACTACACGCTCACGCCCGTGGCTAGGTAGGTGCGGAACTCGCAAGAAGCTCCGCCCCCAACACCATTGCTGAGTCACTGCGAGGAAAGCGACGCCTGCCAACTAAAAGGAAGCGGTGGGGCGCGGTGGGTGGAAAGACGGCGGGGGGGAGGAGGGGGGAGGAAGTGGAGGAGGGGGATTGGGAGGGATGCACAATCGCCTCCACCGCCCCGAGCAAGCTGCACCCCGTTCGCCCGAGCCCAGACGCTCTGCACGTAGGAAGCTCCCTGAGATGGTCGGGGCACTCTCTGCACTCTCTGCACTCTCTGCACTCTCTGCACTCTCTGCACTCTCTGCACTCTCTGCACTCTCTGCACTCTCTGCACTCTCTGCACTCTCTGCACTCTCTCTGCACTCTCTCTGCACTCTCTGCACTCTCTGCACTCTCTGCACTCTCCGCACTCTCCGCACTCTCCGCACTCTCTGCACTCTCTGCACTCTCTGCACTCTCTGCACTCTCTGCACTCTCTGCACTCTCTGCACTCTCTGCACTCTCTGCACTCTCTGCACTCTCTGCACTCTCTGCACTCTCTGCACTCTCTGCACTCTCTGCACTCTCTGCACTCTCTGCACTCTCTGCACTCTCTGCACTCTCTGCACTCTCTGCACTCTCTGCACTCTCTGCACTCTCTGCACTCTCTGCACTCTCTGCACTCTCTGCACTCTCTGCACTCTCCTGCACTCTCTGCACTCTCTGCACTCTCTGCACTCTCTGCACTCTCTGCACTCTCCGCACTCTCCGCACTCTCCGCACTCTCTGCACTCTCTGCACTCTCTGCACTCTCTGCACTCTCTGCACTCTCTGCACTCTCTGCACTCTCTGCACTCTCTCGCACTCTCCTGCACTCTCTGCACTCTCTGCACTCTCTGCACTCTCTGCACTCTCTGCACTCCTCTGCACTCTCTGCACTCTCTGCACTCTCTGCACTCTCTGCACTCTCTGCACTCTCTGCACTCTCTGCACTCTCTGCACTCTCTGCACTCTCTGCACTCTCTGCACTCTCTGCACTCTCTGCACTCTCTGCACTCTCTGCACTCTCTGCACTCTCTCTGCACTCTCTGCACCCTCCTCCTGCACTCTCTGCACTCTCTGCACTCTCTGCACTCTCTGCACTCTCTGCACTCTCTGCACTCTCTGCACTCTCTGCACTCTCTGCACTCTCTCTGCACTCTCTGCACTCTCTGCACTCTCTGCACTCTCTGCACTCTCTGCACTCTCTGCACTCTCTGCACTCTCTGCCACTCTCTGCACTCTCTGCACTCTCTGCACTCTCTGCACTCTCTGCACTCTCTGCACTCTCTGCACTCTCTGCACTCTCCTGCACTCTCTGCACTCTCTGCACTCTCTGCACTCTCTGCACTCTCTGCACTCTCTGCACTCTCTGCACTCTCTGCACTCTCTGCACTCTCTGCACTCTCTGCACTCTCTGCACTCTCTGCACTCTCTGCACTCTCTGCACTCTCTGCCACTCTCTGCACTCTCTGCACTCTCTGCACTCTCTGCACTCTCTGCACTCTCTGCACTCTCTGCACTCTCTGCACTCTCTGCACTCTCCTGCACTCTCTGCACTCTCTGCACTCTCTGCACTCTCTGCACTCTCTGCACTCTCTGCACTCTCTGCACTCTCTGCACTCTCTGCACTCTCTGCACTCTCTGCACTCTCTGCACTCTCTGCACTCTCTGCACTCTCTGCACTCTCTGCACTCTCTGCACTCTCTGCACTCCTCACTCTGCACTCTCTGCACTCTCTGCACTCTCTGCACTCTCTTGCACTCTCTGCACTCTCTGCACTCTCTGCACTCTCTGCACTCTCTGCACTCTCTGCACTCTCTGCACTCTCTGCACTCTCTGCACTCTCTGCACTCTCTGCACTCTCTGCACTCTCTGCACTCTCTGCACTCTCTGCACTCTCTGCACTCTCTGCACTCTCTGCACTCTCTGCCCTCTCCGCACTCTCCGCACTCTCTGCACTCTCTGCACTCTCTGCACTCTCTGCACTCTCTGCACTCTCTGCACTCTCTGCACTCTCTGCACTCTCTGCACTCTCCCGCACTCTCCCGCACTCTCTGCACTCTCTGCACTCTCTGCACTCTCTGCACTCTCTGCACTCTCTGCACTCTCTGCACTCCTCTGCACTCTGCCTCCTGCACTCTCTGCACTCTCCTGCACTCTCCGCACTCTCTGCACTCTCTGCACTCTCTGCACTCTCTGCACTCTCTGCACTCTCCGCACTCTCTGCACTCTCTGCACTCTCTGCACTCTCTGCACTCTCTGCACTCTCTGCACTCTCTGCACTCTCTGCACTCTCTGCACTCTCTGCACTCTCTGCACTCTCTGCACTCTCTGCACTCTCTGCACTCTCTGCACTCTCTGCACTCTCTGCACTCTCTGCACTCTCTGCACTCTCTGCACTCTCTGCACTCTCTGCACTCTCTGCACTCTCCGCACTCTCTGCACTCTCTGCACTCTCTGCACTCTCTGCACTCTCTGCACTCTCTGCACTCTCTGCACTCTCTGCACTCGCACTCTCCGCACTCTCCGCACTCTCTGCACTCTCTGCACTCTCTGCACTCTCTGCACTCTCCGCACTCTCCGCACTCTCTGCACTCTCTGCACTCTCCGCACTCTCCGCACTCTCTGCACTCTCTGCACTCTCTGCACTCTCTGCACTCTCTGCACTCTCTGCACTCTCTGCACTCTCTGCACTCTCTGCACTCTCTGCACTCTCTGCACTCTCTGCACTCTCCGCACTCTCTGCACTCTCTGCACTCTCTGCACTCTCTGCACTCTCTGCACTCTCTGCACTCTCTGCACTCTCTGCACTCTCCGCACTCTCCGCACTCTCTGCACTCTCTGCACTCTCTGCACTCTCTGCACTCTCTGCACTCTCTGCACTCTCTGCACTCTCTGCACTCTCTGCACTCTCTGCACTCTCCTGCACTCTCTGCACTCTCTGCACTCTCTGCACTCTCTGCACTCTCTGCACTCTCTGCACTCTCTCCGCACTCTCCTGCACTCTCTGCACTCCTCCTGCACTCTCTGCACTCTCCGCACTCTCTGCACTCTCTGCACTCTCCTGCACTCTCTGCACTCTCCGCACCTCTCCGCACTCTCTGCACTCTCTGCACTCCTCTGCACTCTCTGCACTCTCTGCACTCTCTGCACTCTCTGCACTCTCTGCCACTCTCTGCACTCTCTGCACTCTCTGCACTCTCTGCCACTCTCTGCACTCTCTGCACTCTCTGCACTCTCTGCACTCTCTGCACTCTCTGCACTCTCTGCACTCTCCGCACTCTCCGCACTCTCCGCACTCTCTGCACTCTCTGCACTCTCTGCACTCTCTGCACTCTCTGCACTCTCTGCACTCTCTGCACTCTCTGCACTCTCTGCACTCTCCGCACTCTCCGCACTCTCCGCACTCTCTGCACTCTCTGCACTCTCTGCACTCTCTGCACTCTCCGCACTCTCCGCACTCTCTGCACTCTCTGCACTCTCTGCACTCTCTGCACTCTCTGCACTCTCTGCACTCTCTGCACTCTCTGCACTCTCTGCACTCTCTGCACTCTCTGCACTCTCTGCACTCTCTGCACTCTCTGCACTCTCTGCACTCTCTGCACTCTCTGCACTCTCTGCACTCTCTGCACTCTCCGCACTCTCCGCACTCTCTGCACTCTCTGCACTCTCTGCACTCTCTGCACTCTCTGCACTCTCTGCACTCTCTGCACTCTCTGCACTCTCTGCACTCTCTGCACTCTCTGCACTCTCTGCACTCTCTGCACTCTCTGCACTCTCTGCACTCTCTCTGCACTCTCCTGCACTCTCTCTGCACTCTCTGCACTCTCTGCACTCTCTGCACTCTCTGCACTCTCTGCACTCTCCTGCACTCTCCTGCACCTCCTCTGCACTCTCTGCACTCTCTGCCACTCTCCGCACTCTCCGCACTCTCCGCACTCTCTGCACTCTCTGCACTCTCTGCACTCTCTGCACTCTCTGCACTCTCTGCACTCTCTGCACTCTCTGCACTCTCTGCACTCTCTGCACTCTCTGCACTCTCTGCACTCTCTGCACTCTCTGCACTCTCTGCACTCTCTGCACTCTCTGCACTCTCTGCACTCTCTGCACTCTCTGCACTCTCCGCACTCTCCGCACTCTCTGCACTCTCTGCACTCTCTGCACTCTCTGCACTCTCTGCACTCTCTGCACTCTCTGCACTCTCTGCACTCTCTGCACTCTCCGCACTCTCCGCACTCTCCGCACTCTCTGCACTCTCTGCACTCTCTGCACTCTCTGCACTCTCCGCACTCTCCGCACTCTCTGCACTCTCTGCACTCTCTGCACTCTCTGCACTCTCTGCACTCTCTGCACTCTCTGCACTCTCTGCCCTCTCTGCACTCTCTGCACTCTCTGCACTCTCTGCACTCTCTGCACTCTCTGCACTCTCTGCACTCTCTGCACTCTCTGCACTCTCTGCACTCTCTGCACTCTCCTGCACTCTCCTGCACTCTCTGCACTCTCTGCACTCTCTGCACTCTCTGCACTCTCTGCACTCCTCCTCTGCACTCTCTGCACTCTCTGCACTCTCTGCACTCTCTGCACTCTCTGCACTCTCTGCACTCTCTGCACTCCTCTGCACTCTCTGCACTCTCTGCACTCTCCTGCACTCTCTGCACTCTCTGCACTCTCTGCACTCTCTGCACTCTCTGCACTCTCTGCACTCTCTGCACTCTCTGCACTCTCTGCACTCTCTGCACTCTCTGCACTCTCTGCACTCTCTGCACTCTCTGCACTCTCTGCACTCTCTGCACTCTCTGCACTCCTCTGCCACTCTCTGCACTCTCTGCACTCCTCCTCTGCACTCTCTGCACTCTCTGCACTCTCTGCACTCTCTGCACTCTCTGCACTCTCTGCACTCTCGCACTCTCCGCACTCTCCGCACTCTCTGCACTCTCTGCACTCTCTGCACTCTCCCCCTCGCACTCTCTGCACTCTCTGCACTCTCTGCACTCTCTGCACTCTCTGCACTCCTCTGCACTCTCTGCACTCTCTGCACTCTCTGCACTCTGCACTCTCTGCACTCTCTGCACTCTCTGCACTCTCTGCACTCTCTGCACTCTCTGCACTCTCTGCACTCTCTGCACTCTCTGCACTCTCTGCACTCTCCGCACTCTCCGCACTCTCTGCACTCTCTGCACTCTCTGCACTCTCTGCACTCTCTGCACTCTCTGCACTCTCTGCACTCTCTGCACTCTCTGCACTCTCTGCACTCTCTGCACTCTCTGCACTCTCTGCACTCTCTGCACTCTCTGCACTCTCTGCACTCTCTGCACTCTCCGCACTCTCTGCACTCTCTGCACTCTCTGCACTCTCTGCACTCTCTGCACTCTCCGCACTCTCTGCACTCTCTGCACTCTCTGCACTCTCTGCACTCTCCGCACTCTCCGCACTCTCCGCACTCTCTGCACTCTCTGCACTCTCTGCACTCTCTGCACTCTCTGCACTCTCTGCACTCTCTGCACTCTCTGCACTCTCTGCACTCTCTGCACTCTCTGCACTCTCTGCACTCTCTGCACTCTCTGCACTCTCTGCACTCTCTGCACTCTCTGCACTCTCTGCACTCTCTGCACTCTCCGCACTCTCCGCACTCTCGGCACTCTCTGCACTCTCTGCACTCTCTGCACTCTCTGCACTCTCTGCACTCTCTGCACTCTCTGCACTCTCTGCACTCTCTGCACTCTCCGCACTCTCCGCACTCTCCGCACTCTCTGCACTCTCTGCACTCTCTGCACTCTCTGCACTCTCCGCACTCTCCGCACTCTCTGCACTCTCTGCACTCTCTGCACTCTCTGCACTCTCTGCACTCTCTGCACTCTCTGCACTCTCTGCACTCTCTGCACTCTCTGCACTCTCTGCACTCTCTGCACTCTCTGCACTCTCTGCACTCTCTGCACTCTCTGCACTCTCTGCACTCTCTGCACTCTCTGCACTCTCTGCACTCTCTGCACTCTCCGCACTCTCCGCACTCTCTGCACTCTCTGCACCTCCTCTCTGCACTCTCTGCACTCTCTGCACTCTCTGCACTCTCTGCACCTCCTCCTGCACTCTCTGCACTCTCTGCACTCTCTGCACCCCACTCTCTGCACTCTCTGCACTCTCTGCACTCTCTGCACTCTCTGCACTCTCTGCACTCTCTGCACTCCTCCTGCACTCTCCCCTCTGCACTCTCTGCACTCTCTGCACTCTCTGCACTCTCTGCACTCTCTGCACTCTCTGCACCTCTCCTCGCACTCTCTGCACTCTCTGCACTCTCTGCACTCTCTGCACTCTCTGCACTCTCTGCACTCTCTGCACTCTCTGCACTCTCTGCACTCTCTGCACTCTCTGGCACTCTCTGCACTCTCTGCACTCCTCCTGCACTCTCTGCACTCTCTGCACTCTCTGCACTCTCTGCACTCTCTGCACTCTCTGCCACTCTCTGCACTCTCTGCACTCTCTGCACTCTCTGCACTCTCTGCACTCTCTGCACTCTCTGCACTCTCTGCACTCTCTGCCTCTCTGCACTCTCTGCACTCTCTGCACTCTCTCACTCTCTGCACTCTCTGCACTCTCTGCACTCTCTGCACTCTCTGCACTCTCTGCACTCTCTGCACTCTCTGCACTCTCTGCACCTCTGCCTCTGCACTCTCTGCACTCTCTGCACTCTCTGCACTCTCTGCACTCTCTGCACTCTCCGCACTCTCCCGCACTCTCTGCACTCTCTGCACTCTCTGCACTCTCTGCACTCTCTGCACTCTCCGCACTCTCTGCACTCTCTGCACTCTCTGCACTCTCTGCACTCTCTGCACTCTCTGCACTCTCTGCACTCTCTGCACTCTCTGCACTCTCCGCACTCTCCTCCGCACTCTCTGCACTCTCTGCACTCTCTGCACTCTCTGCACTCTCTGCACTCTCTGCACTCTCTGCACTCTCTGCACTCTCTGCACTCTCTGCACTCTCTGCACTCTCTGCACCTCTCCTGCACTCTCTGCACTCTCTGCACTCTCTGCACTCTCTGCACTCTCCGCACTCTCCGCACTCTCCGCACTCTCTGCACTCTCTGCACTCTCTGCACTCTCTGCACTCTCTGCACTCTCTGCACTCTCTGCACTCTCTGCACTCTCTGCACTCTCTGCACTCTCCGCACTCTCCGCACTCTCCGCACTCTCCGCACTCTCCGCACTCTCTGCACTCTCTGCACTCTCTGCACTCTCTGCACTCTCCGCACTCTGCGTTACTGCGAGCGCACGCTCTGAGCTTCTGGGCCCTACCCTACGTGCAGAGCGTCTGGGCACTGGGCTCTGGGTCCGCCCAAAGAGCATCATGTGAGGGAGCCGGTGGGAGGAAGGAGGTGCCTGCCAGGTGGGAATGGAGGGAGAGGCGAGGATGAGGGAGATGGCGATGGCGAGGGGTCCGGGAGGGGTAGGAACTCAGTGGCGCCTTTCACAATTCCCACGCACGCGCTGATAACAAACAAGCAAGCGGCTGGCAGCGCCGCAATGCTGTTTGTGACACGAGGGGTTTAAACAGCAGTAAGAGAGTTGCCTCACGTAATAGGTCACGCGACGATTTCAAAATCGTCTGCAGAAAGAAGGAAATGGTATCAAAGCACTTCACCACGCCTTACGCTTCCGTCCCTCCAGCGGTCCGAATTCGCTCGTGCGTGCACTTGAATCGCCACCGCTCATCTCATCAAATCCTACAAGGAGAATATAAATGACCCCGCTTACGCTTCCGTCTCGTCAGTGGTGAGGATCGGTTCGTGCCGGCACTCGATCCGCCACCCGCCGATCTCGATTCCCCGCTGCGGCTCCTCCAATAGCGTCCCGCCAAACGCCGCCACGGCGGCTGCACTCATCGGCGGCACGCTCATGGCGATAGGGAAAGGAAGAAGACCTAACACCACTTAGGCTTAAGACGACCTAACACCACTTATGCTTAAGACGACCTAACACCACTTAGGCTTACGACGACCTAACACCACTTAGGCTTAAGATGAATTGGAGGAAGCAGCGAAGCTGATAGTAAGACGGAGAATGAGGTCGAACCGCTAGCTCTATCCAGCAAATAAGGAAAAACAGTTGGTAAAGATTTGGGATCTTGTGCTGCACGCCCGACAAGCCGGAGAATCCATGAGCGAGGGCTCTAATCATACCCGAAGTTCAAGTACGAGCACGAGGCATGGGACGTTTCTGACTCGTTCATGATCCAACAAGCCAGCTCGTCTGAAAGTGCCGCCGCTTGTCTTTTCATCTTCAGGCCCGGTAACTAGCCTGGAGGGATTTTTTTGGGCAAACTGAACGAATCGTTCCGCGCCTGAAATCTATTGTGTACATCAAGCAACCAAAGTCCCGAATTTCGCGAAGCAGCCTCTGAAACAAACTGTCCGAAACAATGTTCCGCGCTAACCTAACTCATATTCCAAACGAACAGCAGTTTCTTTAAAAAGCTTAATTGAATACTCCCTGGGATGAAAGGTGCTTTTTCTTCCCTCTCCACTATGTCATCCCCCTTAGTCGCCTAAGCAATAGATTCCGTCGCATCTTTTAGGGACAAACTGCATCCGTCTTCCGTTGTGAACCCTCAATGTTTGTAACGCGATCGTTCTTACGGGGGGAAATGCGCTTCTCATGCTTGACCCGTCAGTTCTCAGATAGCAGCCGTTGAGGCGAAAGTTAAGAGAACTTTAGGCGAGACTCCATTGGTTTTCCGGGGCAATAGCCAGCTGCATTGTTGGCAGCCGTTAGCTAGGCGAATCACATTTTCCTTCTTGGCAGTTTATCCCCATTATTGGCTTGGCGCGATGAAGGTGGTCGCGCTAGTGAGCGGGGGGAAGGACAGCTGTTTCAACATGATGGAGTGTACGCGATATGGACATGAGGTGCGTGGCGTACGCGTTGTAGAGAGGAGGTATCTTGGAGAGACGGCGTAGGGGCTGTGCCTTGACATGCCGCCATACCATCTTGTCGCACCAGGTGCCGTGCTCCATTTTCCCCAAACTCCTGTTTCAGGTTGCTAACCAATATTTTGTTTCCGATGCCTTGCGATTTCAATCACGAATCCGCGAAGCTCGATTTCATAATCCCCCCCAACCTTCGAATCTCAACCTTGAACACTCAACCTTGAGCCCTCAACCCCCAACCTTGAGCCCTCAACCCTCAACCCTCGTCCCTGAGCTTCCAATCCTAAACCCTGGCGTTATGACATGGCATGGCACAACTCATCCCGCATGCTTGACGTTGTGGCATGGCATGGCATCAGGTGGTGGCGCTGGCGAATCTGCTTCCATCAGATGATGAAACGGACGAGCTGGACAGTTTCATGTTCCAAACGGTACGTTGCAGTTTCATGTTCCAAACAGTACGTTGTAGGTACATCTTTAAGGCAGTACGCTGCAGTTTCAGTTCATGTTCCAAAGAGTGAGTCGCAACTTCATGTTTTAAGCAGGTGCGTTACAACTTGATGGCTCGTCTGCACGTTTTAGTTGTGCATCTGTAGTTACCTACCTATTTGTTGCTCAGGTGCCATGGCATGAGAAGCTCTCACCACTTTAGACCCTTCACCACCGTTCATCAACGTTTCTCCTCAGCCCCTCATGCCCCTCATGCCCCTCATGCCCCTCATGCCCCCAGTTATGATTCCGTTCCGTGATCCCTCATTCCCCTCCCCCTCTGTCCCAACGCCTCTGCTCCGCGTTCCACCCACCGTCTCACCCACCGTCTTTTGAGTCGACTCAATAGTCATTTCCGCTCCGTGCCCCCTCATTCCCCTCCCCCTCAACGCCTCCACTCCACGTTCCACCCTCCCTCCACCTGGCCGGTCTGCTGGCTTCAGGTGGGCCATCAGGTGATCTGATCGCAGCATACGCCACCTGCGTGGGTCTGCCTTTCCTCCAATTTTCCCCCCCGTTTCATTCCCATCTATCCTATTTCTCTCATCTGCCCCCCTTGCCTGATTCAGGTGGGCCATCAGGTGATTGCAGCATACGCCACCTGCATGGGGCTGCCTCTCTTCCGACGCCGGATCAAAGGCTCTTCCAAGTATGCTCCCTCTACCACCCTTCCCTCTCTCTTTAGCCCCCCCCTCCCCCCCTCCTCCCCAACCTCCTATTTCCCCTTCTCCCCCAACCATACTCTCTCTCACTCTCCTTTCTGCCCCTCCTTCGTCTCTTCTCGCTCCCCTCATTCCTCACTCACTCCTCTCACTTCCCCTACTATTCTCCTCGCCCTCATCCAACATCCGCACCTTGCGGCAGGCATCTGGCCATGAGATGCCGTGCGCCAGCACCGGGGGCGAGGTGGAGGCGGAGGCGGAGAGGGCATGGACGCGTCTCCACCTCACCTCAGCGAAAGCGTGCGTCTGCTCCGCTCTCATCCCCACCCCACCCCACCCCACCCCACCCTCTCGCCTGCAGGCAGGCACCTGGGCATGGAGTACCGTGTTTTGTTGTGTTGTGTTGTGTTGTGTTGTGTTGTGTACCACAGCAGGGGACGAGGGGGAGGACATGGAGGCATGTCATGGCAGCAAGGGCATGTCATGGCAGCAAGGGCATGTCATTGCAGCAAGGGCATGTCATTGCAGCAAGGGCATGTCATGGCAGCAAGGGCATGTCATTGCAGCAAGGGCATGTCATTGCAGCAAGGGCATGTCATTGCAGCAAGGGCATGTCATTGCAGCAAGGGCATGTCATTGCAGCAAGGGCATGTCATTGCAGCAAGGGCATGCGCCAACCCTCATCCCCACCTACCTAGCCTTAACCCCCTTTTCCGGCAGGCACCCGGCGATGAAGTACCGTACGACAGCGGGGGACGAGGTGGAGGACACGGAGCATCTCACCCGGCGCCGGCGGGCACTCCTCTTCGCTTCACCCAGTGCTACCTCCCCCTCCCCTCGGCAGGCACCTGGCAATGAAGTACCGTACGACTGCAGGGGACGAGGTGGAGGACATGGAGGTGCTGCTCAGGGTGGTCAAGAAGCACCTGCCAGGTGAACAATGTTTGTTGGAACCACCTGCCAGGTGAACATTGTTTGTTGGAACCACCTGCCAGGTGAACATTGTTAGTTGGAACCACCTGCCAGGTGAACATTGTTTGTTGGAACCACCTGCCAGGTGAACATTGTTTGTTCGAACCACCTGCCAGGTGAACATTGTTTGTTGGAACCACCTGCCACTGCCAATCGATTTGTTTGTTTTTTTTCTCTCTCTCGAATGGTCCTTTGTTGCTGGGGAATCCTGGGTACATGCTAGGCAAGAGGAGCAGGCACAGGTAAATACTACCGGTGGGGAGGTTTAGTACCCGGTCCTACCACCCCCCCTCCCTCCCCTAATGCTCTAGCACGGCGAAGCAGTCCCCAAGGGACATGCCCGCATCGGGTCCCCCCAAGGGGGGCCACTCCAGCGGTGACACTTCGTTCACCTTCCCCAGGTAGGTTAGTGCCTGTCCCCGTTGGAGGGTGACTGACCAGCGCTGGCGAAACTGGTTGAGTAGTTTCGCCGCCTGGTAAGAGCTGGGGTCGGCGTTGAAGAGGCGCCGGGCAGCCGTGTGGGCTAAAAGTTTGAGGAAGACCGGCACTTCCGTGCAAGGGCAGCCGTATGTCTCGACAGCAAGCGGGAAGAAGCCGACGTACTCTGCCCTGTGGCGGTACATGTCGATCTTCTTGTCCGCCTGCTCCCTGGCCATGTAACCGCGTCCCTTGCGGGCGAGGGGGTCCCTGGAGCTGACTGGGTCCGTGACTGTGACGTCGCAGATCCAGACCGCCCCTGAGTCCCGGTCCCGGATGGCTAGGTCGGCTGTCTTGCCGTCGACCGGGTTGTATAGGGCTGTTTCTTTCGAGACAATGAGTTGTGCGTCTTGGCCCATGCGAATGCATTCGTCCCGGAGGGCGTTGTGTGTATCAGTGCGTCCGTGCCCCGTCCCGCAGTGGAATAAGTGGTTGGGGAGCCGTGGGTCCGGGATCTCGGTCTTCTTGGCGCAATTGCACACTTTTGGCGCGGGGAAAGGGAGGCCCAGGCGGAAGGCGAGGGCTATGGCGAAGTGAGGAGGTGCCAGCCTGAGTGATGGGAAGAGGGGGACTGCGAGGAGCCAGTCCCCTGCTCCGTACCCTGTGAGGGAGAGGAGCCGCTGCGTGTGACCGCTGAGGGGGTTTAGCTCCATGTGCCTGGTCGATTCTAGCTGCTCGGCGAACCGGGCAGCGTGGACCTCTAGGGCGAGGCGGTGCTGGAGCGGAGCTTCGGATGGTTCCGAGGGCTCGGCGCGCAGGAGTTCCCGGGCGGTGGCCGGCAGCGCCGCCTCGCACTCAGCCAGCCAGGTGTGAAGGGGGGTGGGGCTGGTGTAGGGTGGTGCGAGGGAGCGGGCCACTGTCCCGAGGGGGGCGGATGGGTCTGGGGCGAGGGAGGCCAGGAGCCGTTGGGCGTGGGTGACGCTGGTGAGGAGGGCATGGGGTCCCTCCACTGTGGGGTCCGTCAAGCCGAGCCCTCCGAGGGAGGGGGGGAGCGAGGCCTGTTGCCAAGTGCGCGACATCTCCTGTTCCCCCCGTGGGAGCTGGAGATGGCAGGCCCTCAGGAGGGTGAGGTAGAGTTGCTGCCCCCACTGGGACCACTCCTGTGCTGGGAGTAGGTTCAGCGGCGTCGTGCGGGTCAGGTAGGAGACCCGACGAGAGACGCAGCGGTGGAGGAGGAGGCTGGCGGCCTGGGGGTCCATGGCTGCCAGGGTTGGCAGTGGCTTGGCCATTGCGGCCAGTTGCTCACGCAGGAAGCGGGCTGCTGCGTCTGGGGGACCGATATGGCTGCCCAGGATCCGCAACCCGGAGGCGCAGAAGGGGATCCCGGGGGGGAGGGAGTCGGGGGGGGGATGGGCCGCGGACCATGCTGCGCACTTAGCCGGATTGTGGGTCAGGCCGAGAGGAAGAAGCGCGTGGGTGAGGTGGGCGAATGCGGCTGTGCATGCGGCCGGCTCCCCCATCAAGGTGATGTCGTCGGCGTATGCCAGGCAGAGGACGCGGGGAAACGCTTGGGCGGTCTCTCGCAGGGCGGGATGCATGGCGGCGGCAAAGAGCAGAGGTCCCATGGGGTCCCCTTGCCTGACGCCGCGGGCGCTGAGGAGGGGCTGGCTGTCAAAGCCCGCGTCCAAGAAAAGAGTGGAGGGGGCGCCGTAGGAGAGTTGTACGAAGGGGAGGAGGGGGCGGAGCGGGGAGTTGTAGAGCCCTGTGATGATGGCCCCGCGGTCGACGCTGTTGAAAGCGTTAGAAAGGTCAAGTTGGAGAAGGAGGGCAGACGGGGATTCCGTGGCGAAAGCTCTCGCGCCATGGATTATCGCCTCGCCGCCGGCCCTTACCGCCACCCCGAACTGCAGCGGGAGGAAGTGGCTTTGGGCGGGCTCGTTCATGGCGGCGAGGCCCGCTTTCGCCACTAGGCGGTGGAGGCATTCGCCCACTGCTATTGGGCGGGTGCCCCCCTCTGGCTTTGGGAACGCTAGCAGGCGGCTAGCTGTGAGGAGCCCGGCTACCTCTGGAGTGGTGGATCCTTTTAGGAGGATTTGTGCTACCCCGTGCAGTTTGCTGGCGACTGAGGCGTTCGCGAGGGCTGCGTCGCGAAGGTGTTCGAAGCACATGCCCGACGGTCCCGCGCCAACTCCGTTTTCGCTGCGGCTAAGTAACCGAACGAAATCGGCCAGCGAGATGGAGGGGAGTCGCTCAGACTCGTCGAGGGCAGGCCAGTCAAGGGACTCAGTCAGAGGGGGGGGGTGTTTGGAGGTCAGTGCGGCGAGGACCTCCGGCGTTGACTCGCTGACCGGGGTCGAGTCCAGTGCCAGGAGGGCACGCCTGAGGCTGCCACGACGGACGAGGCCCTCGGCGCGGGATATTTTGCCAAGGGTGTCTCCTGAGTGTCGTGGTACAGGTGGGTTGTGTATCGCGTCAGCTGCTGCCAGGTACAGCGATTCCCATTCGCCAGCCAGGAACTGCTGCAGCCTCCGCTCTATCGCTGGCCAATCTGGGTGGCGCGGCGAATTGAGGCGAAGGGTGAGTCGGGGTGTGAAGAGTAACAGGCGCCAGCCCGCGAGGCTAGAAGGGTTTTTTGCGATGTGGAGCAGAGGTGTCAGGAGCGCCAGGGCGAAAAGCTGGCGTAGTTTGGGGGGGATTCGACGGGAAAGTGGGGGCTGGCGACTGTCGCAAAGCCGTCCGATGTCCCAATTTGCGATCCCCGTGAAAAGGGGTTCATTATTCGCCAGGTCTTCTGGCGAGAATTGGCGGGGAGGGAGGTTGGGTTGTACCTCGTTGTCCCGATAATTTCGCATACGCGGTGCCCGCTGTTCCCTTTGATTCCGCCCCGCCTGCCTTTGTCTTCGATCAGGTCCTTCGCCCCCGTCATCCTCAGCTGAGTCCTCCATGCTAGTCTCTTCCCTTGCCTCCTGCCTATAAGTGGCATCCGCACGTTCCTCAGCAGCATTCGTGTTTTCGGCTGCCTCTTCTCTTAAAGCCCTCCCCACAGCCCTGTGGAAGCCATTCAGTGGTCCGCCGTTAGCCATCAGGCTTGGCGAGCGTCCGCGCCCCCTGCCGCCGCGTCCTCTCCGCGAGCCGCTGCCCCGTGCAGCTGAGCGTGGAGTAGGCGGGCGTTCGCCCCGCTGCCTCGCCGTGCCGGTTCTGGGGGTCATCGGCGAGTCGAATGGCCTTCCGTGCCGGCCGCGCTCGCAGGGAGCGCTCTGTTGACCGTGAGAGTTCGGGGGAAAACGTCCTCCCCCGAGGTCGGTCGAGCTCCCCCCCTCAGTCGGACCGGCGGTGGGCACGCGGGCTCCCAGCGCCGTCGACGAGCGCGCTAGCGTCCCCTGGTCGGATGCGAGCGGCGACGCCGCCTCGGCTGGAGGGGCGGGCTGTGGTGGCGGGCGCCGAGGTCCGCCAATGTCCACCTGCTGCGTTGTCGCCGTTTGCTGTGTCACGTGCGGCGGGCCCTCGCCCCCCCCCTGTGCTGCCGTCTCGGCCCCTTCCGCAACAGCAGCGTGCGCCAAACGGCCCCTCGGGGCGAGCTGGCACACGTCGGGGGCGAAGGGGGTGCGCTCTGGAGAGGCGGCTGGCGCGGACTGCCGCAACGCTGGAGGGGATACTCGAGCGGGCTGGCGCTGGGCTGCTCCCTTCGCCCCCGCAGCCCCCTCAGCAGCCCCCCTGTCATACGCCGCCTCCATTTCCTCCCCGAGACCGTCCACCGACCCTCCCCGACCAGCCGGCTCATGTTGGGTCGTTTCCCTCTCACCTGCGGCCCGTGCAACCCTGTCCCGCAATGGCGCGTGGAAGTGAGTGGTCGAGCCTGCAAATCCCGCCGCCACCTCCGACGGCTCTGCACCCATCCACGCCGGCGCCTCCGCGACAGCGTGTGCCGCCTGGGGGCTCGTATACTGTCCAGCACCCCGCCGCGCACCTGCTGCCCTCGCACGCGCCGGTCCACTTCCCCCCCGGGTACTACGACTTGCACCATCAGTCCCTGCCAGCGCCCCAGAGAGGTAGCCCCGCGTTATCCGCCGATACTCTCCCGGAGTGGCGACCCCCCTCATCCTGGGCTGGGGCGGCGGAGTGGTCCGATCCCCAGGTGGGGCTCTACCGCGGAGGGGGTGTGGTCGGTCCGTTTGTTCCCCCTCGGCGGCGGGCGCCATCCCCACGGGGTGTAGAGGCGGGGGCAGAAGCAGCGGAGACGGGGGGCGCAGAGTCGCCAGGGGAGGGGTCTCCCCGTCGTGCCCGTGGGGCCGGGGTGGCGACGCGTTGGAGCCCGCTGACGGCGGGACCGCTGACGGCGGCTCCTGCGGGGATAACGGTCCCAGCCGCCACACTTCGTCGCCTTGGGCATGCTCGGAGGGGGACCGAGATACTGTTGACGATTCTGGCGGCGGCGAGCTCCGCGCTGGGGAGCTCAGGGGGCCGGTCAATGGCCCCGTACTTCCCCCTTCAGGGCTGCATGGAAGCAGCCATAGATCTTGCTGTGGAGGCCACACGCGCGCGGCCCGGGCCCGCCCGGGGAACAGGCACGGACCCGCACCTTCTCGCCGCTCTCCGCCAGGTGTCGGCGAGCATAGACTCGGCGTCAGCTGCAGGGCTTGTAGCTGGCGCCGTGTCCACGCTGCAGGTCCTGTTGTCGTACCAGGCCGAGTTGCTGGAGGAGGCCGGGCTGGCGGCTGTCGCGGAATAGCAGAGCGGCGGGAGTAGGTGCGGCCGGGCGGTGAGTCCTGCAGTCTGAGCGCCCCCGCCCGGCGTATCAGTTGCTCCATGTGAGCTTGGTGGCCAACGTAGTATACGCGTTGCAGGTCCTAGTCTAGAGTTGGAGGGGCTCCATCAAGCATGCCTTGTACTTGTTGCGGTATATTGGAATGTGGGACTTGTCACCCCCTCCCGCGCGGCCGAAGGCCGCCGACGCGAGCCGCCAGCAAGGGTAGGAGAAAGAATAACTGAAAACTAAACAAGGGAAATGAGGCAGGGAAGGGCCTTAAATAGAGAGGAAGGGACTCAGGCTCTCTCTCTCTCTCTCTCTCTCTCTCTCTCGCTCTCTCTCTCTCTCTCTCCGGAAACTCCTTTCAGCTGTGTCAGGAGAGCACCCATTGGTTGGTAATCTGTCGGTTGGCAATACTTGTCAGTCAGTCAGTCAGTCAGTCAGTCAGTCAGTCGGGTGAAAATGCATCTGGTAGGGTCTTCCGTCAGTCAAATGGTGGTGTAACGGTTCTGAGGCGTCAAATGTAGACTTGTCCATTTCCACTCTCTTTCCCTCCTACCCGCCCCTCTCTTTCCCTCCTACCCGCCCCTCTCTTTCCCTCCTACCCGCCCCTCTCTTTCCGCACATCCCTTCCCTCTCTTTCCGCACATCCCTTCCCTCATCTCCTTTCCTAACCTCTCACCCAACCCTCCCCTGCGTTTCTCACAGACGTCCTAGGCGTGTCAGCAGGGGCAATAGCATGGGGGCACCAGCGAGTGAGTGAGGGTGCAGCACGTGTGCGCCCCTCTTTCTCTCGCCACCTCTTTTTCCTTCCCCCCACCCTTCTCTCGCCTGCCCTCCTACTTCCCCCTTTCCCCATCTCCTCCTTACCTTCACCCTTCCCCTCTTTCTCACAGACGTCGTCCAGGGACTGGCAGTGGCTGCAATAGCGTCGGACTACCAGCGAGTGAGGGTGTCCACGTGTGCTCTAGAATCATCCCCAGTCCCTCTTCTTCCTTCCCTCCGTTCCTCCCTCATCTCCCCACTATTCTCCCATGCTTCAGACGTCCAGGGAGTGTCGGTGGGCGCAATAGCGTCGGACTACCAGCGAGTGAGGGTGGAGCACGTGTGCTCTAGGCTGGGCCTCACTCCCCTCGCCTACTTGTGGCAGCGACCACAGAAGGCTCTGCTGGATGACATGGTGAGATGCTCTGCTGGGGTGAGGCATGCTGCACACGGGGGTGAGTGGGCTGGCCTTTGCTCTCTGTTAGTTTGCATTCGCCCCACCCCCCTCGCCTACTTGTGGCAGCGCCCGCAGAAGGCTCTGCTAGATGGCATGATGAGATGGTGTGGCAGTGTGAGGCATGGTGAGGTGATGTGGCAGTGTGAGGCAGGCAACAGCAGGGGGTGAATGGGCATGCTTTGCTCTCTGGTGGTGACAGTTGAAAGGAGCTAGTCCGCAGGCAGCAAGCGCATCACGCCCCTCTCCTACTTTTGGCAGCCACCACAGAAGGCCCAGCTGAATGATGCGGTGGTGCGGTGATGTGGTGCGGTGATTACATTTTGGGCTCCCTTGCTGTGTTGGGCTCCCTTGCTGTGTTGGGCTCCCTTGCTGTGTTGGGCTCCCTTGCTGGGTTGGGCTCCCTTGCTGGGTTGGGCTCCCTTGCTGTGTTGGGCTCCCTTGCTGTGTTGGGCTCCCTTGCTGTGTTGGGCTCCCTTGCTGTGTTGGGCTCCCGTGCTGTGTTGGGCTCCCTTGCTGGGTTGGGCTCCCTTGCTGGGTTGGGCTCCCTTGCTGGGTTGGGCTCCCTTGCTGGGTTGGGCTCCCTTGCTGGGTTGGGCTCCCTTGCTGGGTTGGGCTCCCTTGCTGGGTTGGGCTCCCTTGCTGGGTTGGGCTCCCTTGCTGGGTTGGGCTCCCTTGCTGGGTTGGGCTCCCTTGCTGGGTTGGGCTCCCTTGCTGTGTTGGGCTCCCTTGCTGTGTTGGGCTCCCTTGCTGTGTTGGGCTCCCTTGCTGGGTTGGGCTCCCTTGCTGGGTTGGGCTCCCTTGTTGGGTTGGGCTCCCTTGCTGGGTTGGGCTCCCTTGCTGGGTTGGGCTCCCTTGCTGTGTTGGGCTCCCTTGCTGTGTTGGGCTCCCTTGCTGGGTTGGGCTCCCTTGCTGTGTTGGGCTCCCTTGCTGTGTTGGGCTCCCTTGCTGTGTTGGGCTCCCTTGCTGGGTTGGGCTCCCTTGCTGTGTTGGGCTCCCTTGCTGTGTTGGGCTCCCTTGCTGTGTTGGGCTCCCTTGCTGGGTTGGGCTCCCTTGCTGGGTTGGGCTCCCTTGTTGGGTTGGGCTCCCTTGCTGGGTTGGGCTCCCTTGCTGGGTTGGGCTCCCTTGCTGTGTTGGGCTCCCTTGCTGTGTTGGGCTCCCTTGCTGGGTTGGGCTCCCTTGCTGTGTTGGGCTCCCTTGCTGTGTTGGGCTCCCTTGCTGTGTTGGGCTCCCTTGCTGGGTTGGGCTCCCTTGCTGGGTTGGGCTTCACTGGAGCTATTTCTGAGGACCTGTTGCCCCTGTGCTCCCCTCTCTATGCTTTTGCCACCAGATCGCATCGGGCATCCATGCCATCCTGATCAAAGTGGCAGCACCGGGTCTGCTGAGCTCCCCCCCTCGTCTTTGACACCTTGCCGCTCATCGGATGCCCCTTCCCCTGCCACCAGATCGCATCGGGCATCCACGCCGTTCTCATCAAGGTGGCAGCGCTGGGGCTACTGCCTGAGAAGCACCTGGGGAAGCGACTGGAGGAGATCAGGGGCACCATGTATGCCCTGGCAGGGTGAGTGAGTGAGTGTGTGTGTGTGCGCGCGCGCGCGCGTGCGTGTGCACCAGGTGATTATGAGAGCATGTCTGTTGCGTGATGTCCTGATGGGGGTGACTGTGGGAATGCATTGGGAAGATATTGGAGGAGCCAAGAAGCACCATGAATTTTCTGGCAGCGTGAGAGAGGATGGGAGTGTGTGTGTGTGTGTGCGCGTGCGTGCGTGCGTGTGCGTGAGTGTGTGTGTGTGTGTGTGTGTGTGTGTGTGTGTGTGTGTGTGTGTGCATGTCAACGCATCACGAGACACCATGCATGCGCGCGCTCCTGGTGGAAATAATTAAACCCACTTAATGTGTTGACTGGTTCATCCACTTAACAAGGAAAGCGGACCCACTTGACTGGTTGCATGGAACTGTTATTGAGGCGCCTAAAAAAGCGAACCCACTTGACTGGAGTTTTCCTTGTGTTTTCTTATTACTCTCTAAACGCAGCTGAACGGGTATGCTGGAACTGATTATTGGCAACATTGAAGGAGAAAAGTGAAATCCAGAGGCTTTAGGCCCCTCAACATTTGGAATTCACATTCCCTTGTGTCTACAGGCCCCCTCCTTCTCATTCTTAAATCGTATCCTTAACCATTTTTTGGTTCTTCGTACCAGCAAGTTCGGAGTGAATGTGTGTGGGGAGGGGGGGGAGTACGAGACACTCACCCTCGACTGCCCACTTTTCAAGGTAATGCACCACGCCCCAGCACGGTATGTATGTCGTGTTGATCCGTTTTTGCTCTTTGGGCCCCTCAATAATAGGCCATACTCCAACTAGGTTGGAGTCAATTCTTATAATAATTAATGAATAAGCTCCAAAATAGACCATGCTCCAACAACACGGCATGTTGCAGTCATTGGGTTTTTTTATTTTCTTTTTTATTTTCTACAAATTAACCAGTATGTGTGCACTGAGAGGGTAGTGGACAGCTCTCGCACCGTCTTGCACTCTGAAAATAAAAGCTAGGGGAAAACGATGTCGAGTTATCACATGTCAAACCTCAATGGCTACCCCAGAGTGCTTGCGTTTTATGTACGTACTCAAGTTCACGTAAAGGTCCTTGCTTCGGATTCTTGGGTTGTAGCCTCTTCCATTCATGTTACAACAATATATCTCGGCCCGTGGGGACGAGCTGAACGTCAGTATATCCACATGGACTGCGATATGTTGTTTGAACATGAATGGAAGAGGCTACAACCCAAGAATTCAAAGAAAGGACATTTGCGTGAACTTGAGTACGTACATAAACGCGAGCACTCTGGGGTAGCCATTGAGGTTTGGCATGTGATAACTCAACGTCGTTTTCCTCCAACCAGCATGCGCGCATAGCGGTCGACAGCTCTCACACATATCTTCACTCACCCTATCCCGCCGCCATTGTTGAGCACTCTCACAACCTTCCTCATCCCCCTCCTCCACATCCCCTCCCCCTCCCCCTCCCCCTTCATACCCCCTCCCCCCCCTCCACACCCCGTCCCCCCCGTTCCACTCCCCCTCCCCCTCCCTCCTCACACCACTTCCCCGACCAGCATGCGCGCATAGTGGTGGACGATTCTCACATCATCCTACACTCGCCAGACCCAGTGGCCCCAGTTGGTGTGCTACGTATCACAGCCTTCCACGTGGCACAGAAGAGGCAGGATGGGAGTGAGGGTGGTGATGGTGATGCTGCTGCTGCTCACGTGTCTCTCCCTCCTCCGGTTATCATCGATGCCAATGATGAAGATGCTCTTAGCGAGGATGGGGACGGCAGTCCCACAGCTGAGGAAGCAGCAAACAGAGCGGCAGAGGGAGTGCGGGTGGCAGTGACGGTGCAGCGGCACGGGTTTGCGCTCATTGCATGCGACACACAGGGATGCGATGGAGACGGTGAGTGAGCCATGGAGTCTGTATTAAGATGTGTGGCCGCATCCTCTCACACCGCCCTGCACTCCCATCTCCCCCTCATTCCGTCCTCTATTACGACTACGAGTACCATTTGCTCAATCCTCTCCGTTCGTTCGCTCTACCTATTCCCCTCTTCCTCTCCCCCCTCACACAGACCTGCACCCGCACCTCTCCCTCGCTCTCTCCTCCACCCCTGCTGCCCTCTGCTCGCCCATTTCCTTGTCCCCTGTTCCCCTTCCCCTACAACCCCCGCCACACAGACCTCGAGGGACATCTCTCCCTCGCTCTCTCCTCCGTCTCCCACACTCTCCGCTCCTTCTCCCTCTCCTGGGCCCACACTCTCTACGTCCACCTCTACCTCGCTCACACTCCTTCTCTCTTCTCTCTTCCCTCTTTATACAACCCCCCCCACCCCACCCCCTCAATCCCCCCCACACAGACCTGCACTCACATCTCTCCCTCGCTCTCTCCTCCATCTCCCACACTCTCCGCTCCCTCTCCCTCTCCTGGGCCCACACTCTCTACGTCCACCTATACCTCGCTGACATGGCACAATTCGGCGCCGCCAACTCAGCGTACGTGCGCCACATCACCGAAGCCGAGTGTGTGGATGGGGTGCCTTCCCGGTCCACAGTGGAGCTGCCACTTGGCAGAGCCAGAAGCGGCACGGAAGGTTCTAGGAAAGGGTGCAGTGTGGCAGTTGATGTGCTGGCATGGGGTGGGGGAGCAAGAGGGGAGGGGAGCGGAGGGAGAGGAGGAGGGAGTGGTGGAGAGGAGAGGGAGGAGCAGCAAGACAAGGCTGCGAGGCAGAGAGCTGAGAAGCACGTGGTGCATGTGAAGGGCGTGTCGTGCTGGGCGCCTTCATGCATCGGCCCCTACAGCCAGGTATGGGCAGCCAGGTGTGTACAGCCAGGTGTGGGCAGCCAGGTGTGGGCAGCCAGGTGTGGGCAGCCAGGTGTGGGCAGCCAGGTGTGTACAGCCAGGTATGGGCAGCCAGGTGTGGGCAGCCAGGTGTGTACAGCCAGGTATGGGCAGCCAGGTGTGTACAGCCAGGTGTGGGCAGCCAGGTGTGGGCAGCCAGGTGTGTACAGCCAGGTGTGGGCAGCCAGGTGTGGGCAGCCAGGTGTGGGCAGCCAGGTGTGGGCAGCCAGGTGTGGGCAGCCAGGTGTGGGCAGCCAGGTGTGGGCAGCCAGGTGTGGGCAGCCAGGTGTGGGCAGCCAGGTGTGGGCAGCCAGGTGTGGGCAGCCAGGTGTGGGCAGCCAGGTGTGGGCAGCCAGGTGTGGGCAGCCAGGTGTGGGCAGCCAGGTGTGGGCAGCCAGGTGTGGGCAGCCAGCTGTGGGCAGCCAGGTGTGTGTGCTGGAGGCAGAGAGCTGAGCAGCACGTGGTGCTGTGAGGGCGAGTCGTGTTGGGCACCCTCATGCATCGACCCGTACAGCCAGGTGTGTGCGGCCAGTGCCTGGAGGGGCTAAGGCACAGGCAGAGAGGGCTTTGAGGAGCAGTGAGGCCGTTTTGAGGCATGATAGGAGTCTAGTTTTTAGGCGCCTCAAAACCAGGTGTGTGCGGCCAGTGCCTGGAGGGGCTAAGGCACAGGCAGAGAGGGCTCTGAGGAGCAGTGAGGCCATGGCTGCTGTGGTGTGAAGCGTGCTCCCTTTTGCCTCCACCCTTGTGCCCCTTTGGCCCTTCCCCACCCCCACTGCAGGAGCCACAAGGGCATGCTGTGATGGCAGGTCAATCGGGCCTGGACCCACCCGTTACGGAACTGGTGGTGACAGGGAGAGCTAAGAAACAGACAGTGAGGAACAGACAGACAGACAGCTCAAGAGCTGCAAGAAAGAGCTCAAGAGCTGCAAGAAAGAGCTTCCTTTCCTCCCCCTTCCCCCTTCCTCTCCCCCTCACCCCTGTCCCTTCCCTCCGCCCCCCAGTGCACGAGCCACAATGGGGTGCTGTGGATGGCGGGCCAGCTGGGCTTGGACCCACCCATTATGGAATTGGTGACAGGGGGCGCCAAGGCACAGGCAGAGAGGGCTCTGAGGAGCTGCGAGGCCGTGGCTGCTGTGGTGAAGGGGAGAGGGGGTGCTGTGGGGTGGGGGAGGGGGGAGGGGGAGAGTGAGGGGGACGGGGGTTGGGGGGAAGAAAGTGGAGGGGGAGGGAGAGGAGGGGAGTGGAGCAGGGGAATGGGGTGGAAGAGATGGGTTCGGAAGGGGGGTTTGAGTGTGGAGAGGGATTGTATCGCTATGATAGTGTATTTGGCACAGGATGTGGGTGCGGAGGAGAGACAGGAGGTGGCACGGGCAGTTGAGGGGTTTTTTGCAGCTGCCCGGCAGACGAGGAGGGAGATACGGGCAGCAGCGGAAGGGAGTGTGGGTGGGGAGGGGAAGAGGGGAAAGAGAGGGCGAGACGAAGGGAGTGAGAGCAAGGGAGGTGGAGGGGAAGGCGGAGGGGAAGTTGGAGGGGAGGGTGAAGCAGAAGGAATGTGGGGTGAGGGGCAATGGTGGGAGGTGGGGCACAGAGGGGGTGAGGAGGAAAGTGGAATAGAACGTTATGATGAGGGGAGGAGGGAAGACGAGAGCGGGGAGGAGGGGGAGGTGGAGGAGGGGGAGGAGGATGAGGAGGAGGCAGTAGGAGTGTTAGCATCTGACCCGCTGCTGCAGTTTGTGGTGGTGCCGGGACTGCCTAAAGGGTACGCCAACCTCTGTACATGCCATTCTCATCCTCATTCTCATCGTCATTCTCATCCTCCTTCCCCCTTACTGCTGGAGTGTCTCCTTCGCCTTCCACTATCTAAATCCCTTCCCTTCCCTCTACTCCCAATACACGTGTCCACCCGTACACCCAGACTCCCCTTCCCCCTCACCCATCCCCTTCCCCCTCACCCATCCCCTTCCCCCTCACCCATCCCCTTCCCCCTCACCCATCCCTTTCTCGCCCTCTTGTCATCTCCCCGTCCCTTCCCCTATCTCCGTTTCCACTCTCCTCCTTGCTACCTCCTATTACCACCTCCCATACCCTGACCCCGCTTCCACCTGGTTTCCCGACCCCTCAAACCCCTCTTTTGTCCCATCCACAAGTGTTTTTTGTTTTAATCCTCTTTTGAGTCGACTCAGAATAATTATGAAACGGCACCTCTGCCGAACACCTTAGCCCCCCTCCACTTTGTTTCCCACCCCCTTCGAACACCTACCATTGTCCATCCTCCTTCCCCCTCCCCTTTCCCAGCGCTGCTGTTGAGATTGCTCCTCTCCTAACTGCCCCATCGCTCTCCTCTCACTCCTCCTCTCTCTTCTCCTCTTGTGAAAATTCCTTCCCCTCCCGCTCCCCTCCCCCCTTCCCTCCCCCCTCCCCTTCCCCCTTCCCCAGTGCTGCTGTTGAGATCGCTCCGCTACTAGCTGCCCCATCACTCTCCTCTCACTCCTCCTCCTCGTCTCATGCAGCCTCAGTCGCCCTGTGGCCGAGCACTCTCACTCCCCTCCGCCTCCTGTCCACGTCAGCAGCCTGCCACGTGTCATCTCTAGGAAACCAGCTGGCAGGGATGGGCTTGGGAGAATGGAAAGGGGGGGCCGAGGATGCAGAGGGAGAAAAGCAGGCAGATGCTGTCATGCAGACAGGGGCAAAGGAGACCGACAGAGGAATCGAAAATACGGCAGAGGGAGCGGAAGGGAGAAGAGAGGGGGAAGACGGGGAAGCACAGAGGCTGGACGTGGCGGGAGGGGCAGAAGGGTTCAGTGTTGTTGGGCGCGGCACAGCAGCTGCAGGTGCTTTCTGCCGCGTGCACCTGTGGGTGGAGCGAGCGAGGGAAGAGAGGAGGCAAGAGCGTGGACAGGAGCGTACAGTTGTAGAGGCAGTGAATGAGGATGGAGGGGACGGGGAAGTCATGGGGGCACCTGCTGACGCACCTGCTGACACACCTGCTGACGCACCTGCTGACGCACCTGCTGACGGCTTGCTTGATGGCATCGCTGGCACGTGCGTCAGAGTGCTCTCAGATGCTCTCCACGTGGCATGCCTCGATTGGCCCGATGTTGCGGTGAGACTCCCCATCAATGTCCAACCATGTTGCCTGCCTCGTGGCATGTTTGGGTTCATCACCGTTCTTCGTAGTTGTCATCATGAGGCTGTCATGCCAACTACGAACAAACCATGTTGCTCTTTGCCAGTTTTGGCATAGCGGAATTGGCTGCAAGTGTGTGCATGGTCACCACTTCAGTGGTCGTCGCACACGACAACAGACATCGCCCTTGTCGTCCGAGGTGTTTACTAAACTTTCTTTTCTCATTCAACACTTCTGGTTTCATTGAACTCCCCTTCAGCCACATGTGCTCCCTCGTTTGCCCCTCCCTTTTCGCTGCTCCCTCTTTTGCCCCTCCTGCTGACCTCCCAGATGCTTCAGGTGTATGTTTTGGTAGGAGTGTCTATCCCCATCTCTGCCATGTCACTCGCCCTCAAGACGCACTTCCCCAAGGCCCTCCTGTCCCTTCCCCTCACCCCTTCAGATCAGATGCTTCGGGTGTACATACGAACTGGAGGGCCTACCACCATCCCAGCCATGTCACTCGCCCTCTACACCCATCTTTCATGGTCCTCCTGCCCATCCCCCCTCACCCCTTCAGATGCTTCGGGTGTACATACGAGCTGGAGGGACTATTCCCATCCCTGCCATGTCACTCGCCCTTGAGAACCATCTCTCCAAGGTTGTCTTGTCCCAGCCCTCTCATGCAACATCCGCTTCAACCCAGCAGCCTGGTCCTGCTGCTGCTGTTGTTGTTGCTGCTGCTGCTGCTGCTGTGCCGTGCCCGATAGTGGTGCCAGTGGAGGCAGTGGGCCCCACAGCTGCTGCTGATGCCCTCCTGGCAGTAGAGCTGACTGCGTTTGGTTTGTGACGCTAGCTGTTCGAGTTGACCCAGATACACTCCACTGCTGATGTGCCCTACCTATCCCCATAGTGGTGCCACAAGAAGCAATGGGCCCGACTTCTGCAGCTGATGCCTTCCTGGCAATAGAGCTGACTGCGTTTGGGGCAAGTTGGTTGGGGTAACCATGGTTTACCCTGATGGCATGATTGTGCCAGTGGTGGCAGTGGGCTTATGGTGCAACATCGACATGATGAACCAAAACCCCAGCTTGTCGTCCAACTGAGGGTTGAGATTCAGACATCTCTAAGATGCACTGCGGCCTACCCATCAAGTTAGCTCTCGCTTTGTCCTGGTTGGCTGCAGTTGCCCCACAGTTTCTCTGCAGCTGCCTTCTTTTTTAGGCTTTTCTTTGTCCAGCCCAGTGGAACCTGTCAATCAATCTACCGTAAGATCAAAGAATCCAATGAACTGAAACAAGGGGTTTTGTAGCCAGAGGAATTCTTAGCACGTGTGAGAATCATGCATTTTTCCTCACACGCAAGCAGCCATACGAAACCTCCAAGTTCTGGCTCCCTCCTTTTCCCCCTCATGAGACCGCGGAAAGGAGAAGACGTAGGGAGGGAGGGGTGATGGTGGTACGGAGGGGGGGGAAGGGCGGGGTTTGGTAATGGGACAGATCGAAGTGGACCAGCAGTCCAGCAATCCACTATTCAAAACCTGGTACAACTCACTACCAGGCACCAATCTAAGGCATGCGCCATCAGTGACATAAGGCTAGATCTGAGACCCTTCTATGTCACAAAATCCTACGATCCCCCTAACTCCCGATCCCCCACCTGTCATCTTTGCATGCCCTGGAATTTCCGCACGACCAGTCCGCTGACATCAAGATACCGCTGCGCGCAGTTGGTTAGGCAGGAAGACTCCGATCCGCTGAACTTGGCACCCGGCGCGCCTGTGACGCATTTGTCCCAGCAGACCTCCGTGAGCTTCGCGACGAGCTCGTTCAGCATCGCCTTCTGCTTCTCCTGCTCCAGGAACTGCTGCAGCTCGAAGCTCGCCCGCTTCTGATCCGCGTCCATGATCGCTGACGAAGCGGTTGGTGAGATAGACGAGGCAGAATAGGAAACTAAGCGGCCCAGACGTGGACCTAGAACACCGGACGATGCTTGCCACAGAAAGAGAGGCTTGTTCCCCCTAAGAGGTTCGTTCTTGTACGGTGGGATATGGCTCGGTGCGGTAAATTGAGTTCCCAGTCGGCAAGGTTGGGCAATTCACCAGACGAACCCGATATTATTACCGTGCTGTTCATGAAATTATACCATCATGGAAAAACGATACAAAGCAAAGCCTAATTCGCTTGCATATTGTAAATCGCACTTTGTGGCACTTATTCCCAAACATACTGTACATCACAGGTATGAAACGTTCTACCATATCATGTGTGCCAAGCTACTACAACCTTTTTGGAGCTTTACTGAGTTCCCTTCCATTCCACTGGCCATCACTTCTCTTGTCAGGGCCTGATTCCTTTACCAGAGGCATAGCATCACCAGCACAGCAATCAGTCCTGAGAATGCTGAATTGGTTCCTGAAGAAGATGAACCCTTTTTTTTAGCCACGGAACCTGTGCCTGAACAAGTTGAACAAATGATGAGCCCCGGAAAAATGCTCAACAAAACAACAGCACGACTTACCTGAAGGTTCGTTGAGTGATCCAGGTACACCAATACTCCCGTTGCTAGGTGCTGGTGCTGGAGACGGCGCTGAAGCTGGGCTAGCAGAACTTGCAGGTGCTGGACTTGGTGCAGAAGATGGTGCTGGCACTGAGGAATTTGCTTCAGCTGAAGACGGTGCTGGTGGAGGTGCAGAAGCAGGTGCTAAGCCTGGATTTGGTGATGACGCAGGGGCAGGTGCTGGTGCAGGGAAGGAAGGCTTTGCCGAAGGCGATGGAGCTGATGCATCCGGACTTTGGACAGGTGGTGAAGCCGCTGGAGGCGGTGGGTAGATAGAGGTTAAGTTGATGGATGCCTGCACATAGAGAGTAAGGAGAGTGTTCTGGAAAACAATCATCAGCAGCCATTCCTTACATTTGCGAGTGGAGGCATAATGTCGCACAGGAAGAAGACAGATTTATAGACGCTCTTGAAGTGCGCTTGCGCGAGCCTCATAGTCACGACATAGTAGCTGCGATGTATTGACGTGTCAAGGGTGAACCATGCATTGTTAGTAATCTATTAGAGCAGGAACTTACCAGTCGTTAATCTGAGCATCATTCTCTGTCAGCATAATGGCTGCTTCGAGAATGCTTTGACCACAGGCTGAAGTCTTAGTCTGAGTCGCAGGGTTGGAGCACTTTGCATTATTGCATGACGCTGACAGTGACCTGTAATTAATAACCGAACCGACATCTTCGTAACTCGTTAAAGGGCATGAGCTTTTGGTGATGTCCTTCTCTGCAAGAGGAAACAGCCAATATCCACCGCAAAGGCCGAAGACATCTGCCACCACCCCTTTCTTCTGTAAAACCGTGCGGAACATGCTACGACAAGCATTGTTGTACGTCGGACTCCCGACTATTTTCATGACGTCGGCAGAGCCGTTCTTGTAGTTCGCTGACAGAATTATAGTTTCCATCTTCCGGAGCGACTGACAGCAAGATTCCGGGTTCTTGATTGAGCCTTTACACGAAGTAACATCAGTCCTCATGACGCTTGTGACGTTCGCTGGACAGACGGTTCGCTGACCATCAACAGCTGCAAGAGACAGGCATAGTCAATAACCCGCAAGCTACTATCGCCATCGTCAGACAAAGAAAATGACTAAATCTGCTTACCTCCGAGCCATAGAAGCTGAGAAAGCAAGAGAACAGTAAAGCGCGTCATGGCTGAACTCTGGACGAGATGCAACAATGCCAGTTCTGAAACAAAAGCTTTTCAGTACATTTGAACTTAGCATTTGAATTGAGGCGGCGACATCGGGGTCTTTGTGCGTCACCATCCACACTAAATGGAGGGCGTGGTTACTCGAGTACAAAGCACCCTGGAAGCTATAATGACATTGTTGGTTACCCATCTCATGGACATATTACCTGGAAAAACGGAAAACTGAATCGTCACTAAGCACGAAAATCCGAGACCCATTGATGTCCCGTTCGCTATAGTACCGTTACTCGGTTCGAGATACACAATAAGGTTACCTTTTAGATCGTCGTCAAAATCGCGAAAGCGCGAATGCGAAATGTCCGCGTTTACAGCCGCATCAGGTGTCATTTTTGGGGCACAATCAGGGCGTAGTGCCTAGGGTTGCGAAACTATGTGACGTTTTTGGCGAAGATTTCTTGCCTGTAAGGGGACTTGCGAAGAGCCGTCGAGCCCTTTGCGAAAATCGTGACTAGCCCGGGTTGCACAACTCAAGGCCCCACACCTCAGATTTGCTTTTGGAGCGCACTGTAACCAGTAAGAAACAGCACCTCAGGATCGCCATGTACTGAAGTTCGCGTAATGAATTTTCCTGGCTCCCCCAAGCGCTGCCTGAGTTTGCGCACACGGCCAGGTATGGAGAGCTCCTCTCTAGCTAACACCAATATCAGGCTAGCATCCCTTCGCACTGAAAACCGAAGCCCCTTTGGCGGCCTCTTACAGCCCCTCGTCGCTCTTCAAGTTGACAAGTCGACTGTTAACTCGAGGTTTCATTTCCAGTCTTATAGAAACTGGTTTTTTTCCTCGACCTTGACTCGCCATTTCGATGTAGGTTGTTTTCGAATAGCAATTTTCGGCAATACGCTACAAGGCGGAAACTGCTATTCTTGATCAACCTCTTGCTGGTTCACGGCAGCTTCTTGTGTTGCTCAAAGCGTACGTCAGTCGCGACGCACCAGGTCAACATGGCGGACAAATTCGAGCCTGTTCCGCGCGACGCGCGGGTGGTCGCGAGCATCTTGAAATCGATGGGTGTGGACGACTACGAGCCACGTGTCGTCCACCAGGCACGTGTCACGTTTTGCTTCGAAAGGGGAGAGCAGAGAAATGAAAGATCGAGCCGTGTAATTCGCCGTGTTGAAACGGCCGGTGGATTCCGATTCTACATACTAGAGCACCAAAGGGCGCAGGGAATTGTCTCTCTTTTATACTAGAACATACGGTGTCCTGTTGACAGGTCACGACAGGTAAAAAGGTATTTCCGTAGGTTACGGTGTCCTGTTGACAGGTCACGACAGGTAAAAAGGTACTTCCGTACGTTCTCCATCCCAGGGTAAGCCGGAACTCCCTGACCTCGTCCTCTACACGTCTGCTGCGTGAGGAGTGGTCTTAGGGCGCGTTCATGCGTGGCTGGCGCCTCTCTCTATCTCCCGTAAGTCCCCCCCTGCGTTTTCCCGTCGTTATTTCCCGCCAGCTTCAAATCTGTTCCCAGCTATAATTATCCGCTTTCGTTTTCACTTCCGTATCCTGTTTCCAATGAACTTTCACCCAAATTTCCCATCCCTTCCCTGCCTCCGCACCCATTGATCTCCCCCTCACCGACTTCCGCCCCATCGCCCTTCCCCCCACCAGCGTCCGCACCAAAGCTCTCCCCCCCACCAGCGTCCACACCATCGCTCTACCCCTCACCAGCTTGCACCATCGCTCTCCCCCTCTCCAGTGTGCACCATCGCTCGCTCTCCCCCTTCACCAGCGTGCACCATTGCTCCCCCCTCACCAGCTTGCACCATCGCTCTCCCCCCACCAGCGTCCGCCCCATCGCTCTCCCCCCCACCAGCATGCACCACTGCTCTCCCCCTCACCAGCGTCCGCACCATCTCTCTCTCCCCCACCAGCGTCCACACCATCGCTCTCCCCCCCACCAGCGTCCGCACCATCGCTCTACCATCGCTTTCCCCTTCACCAGCTTCTGGAGCTAACCTGCCACTGCCTGACTGACATGCTTGGGGAAGCACGTGTGTACGGGGGGCATGCAGCTCTGTTCCCCCACTCAACTCCCTTGTCCTTACCCTGTCCTGTTCTCTCCTCCCTCACCAGCTTCTGGAGCTCACTTGTCTCTGCCCGCGTGACGCGCTTTGGGAAGCACATGTGTACTCGGGGCATGCAGGGCGGTGGACGACTGCTCCCCATTCCCAACCCTCTCTCCTCTATCCCCTCTCTCTCTTACCCCCCCTGTCCTCCACCCTCACCAGTTTCTGGAGCTCACCTGTCACGGCATGACTGACGTGCCTGGGGAAGCGGCATGCATCTACTCAGGGCATGCAGGGTGGTCCGCCCTGGCGGTGGACCACTGCTCCGCTTTCCCAACCGTCTCTCCTCTATCCCATCTCTCTCTTACCCCCACATCCTCCCTCCCAACCAGCTTCTGGAGTTTGCATATCGCTACATGACCGACGTGCTTGGGGAGGCCCGTGTGTATTCGGAGCATGCGGGGCGGTCCTCGCTTGAAGTGGACGACGTGCGGCTGGCTGTGCAGTCCAAGGTGTCCTTCTCCTTCTCGCAGCCGCCGCCTAGAGAGGTATGCAGAGCAGGGTGTAGGGAAGGTTGCAGTGTTCCTGGGATGGCTGAAGAGGATATATCGAAAGTACACCTGGAGCTGACTGTGCAGGCCAAGGTGTCCTCCTTATCGCAGCCCCTGCCTAGAGAGGTATGATGAGCAGTATTGGGAGGGTTGAGGAGGGTTAAAGAGAAAACACTTGGAGCTCGCCATGCAGTCTAAAGCCTCCATCGCTTTTGCGCAACCACCACCTAGAGAGGTGTGGAGCATGGGTTTGCAACGAGGGAACTCTGTGCTGCGTCTATCCATCTTCCCCTCAAGCATGGATTCACATTCGTTGCCAGGTCCAGCCTTACGAAATCCGGGAAAGGTAACAATTTTGTAGTTGGTGCGTATCCCCCATTCTCTCGCCACGGAAGACAATGACAAGGAGAATGATAACGAAAAGAGAAAGCGTGATAAATCCAACAGAATACTATGAGGTTCTGCATTTGGGCAGCCATCCACATAGCCATCAGAATAAGTTGCTGCCAACCAAGACTAAGACCACGTATACTTCTCTTCAGAAGTCTGTCATCTCTAATGTTCGCACTTAAATCTTGTGAATGGAATACAAATGCTGATTTTGCAAGAACCTTCATGTCCATTAAAGCCGAACGACCATTTCACCAAGTACCTTGATGATGATTTGCAGAGTAGGAAATTTGTAAAACAAAACACATCATGATGGTTCAACTTCCACGCTTTTCCACAAAGCGGGAGGCTTAGATCTTTTTCCTGCAAAATTTTTATGATGTAACGCATATTCTTCTTTCATCCTTGCAGTTGAAGCAGCATAAAATGATGCGTTCACTGGAGACATGTGCTCAAGAAGCTGCCACATCGTACAACTATCTTTCTAAAAACATGTATCCAAGAAGTTTTTAAGTAGTAGTGTTGTACGATGTGGCAACTTCTTACAATACATGTTTCCAGTGAAGTCATCTCTTTACGCACTTTGACATAGACTATGAGTTAGATTGCCTTGTGTTCTCCCCCTCCTCTCCTCCTGCCCTGTCAGGAGCTCAGGCTCATGGAGGCGACGCGTGCCAAGACATTCAAGCTTCCCCGCCAAGTGTCTCACGTTATTCTTCTTTCATCCTGTTCCTCTTCCTGACCCTCGTTCATCCTATCGCCCCCCCCCCCTCCAGGTGCTCATGGAGTTGGCCCGAGCGCGCAATTCCGTGCCAATCCCCCCCATAACTGGGTCGGGTCTCTTCGCGCTGCCCCCTGAAGCTGAGTGTCTGCTGCAGCCCAACGTGCAGATCGCTGTTCCGGTGCCCGGCCCTGCTGCTCGTGGTACGTGGCCTGAGCTGTTGTGGAAAATGGACTAGCCGTGAGCAGTCAATCAACCCTGTATGCTAGCCTCCGTGCTTCCTGAAGCCGAGTGCCTGCTGCGGCCCAATGTCCAGATTGCTCTGCCTGTCACTGGCCCTGCTGGTAGGTGGATCCAACAGACATGCCCGTGGGCATACATGGCTTGGGAGCATGTTTCCTAGTCTTGCGACCTGATGGTGAGTGCCTGCTGCGGCCCAATGTGCAGATTGCTCTGCCTGTCACTGGCAAAGCAGCCTGTGGTACATTCGTGGTAGGTGATTCATTGGGGTATACCGTGGTTGAGCTCGGTTGCATGGTAAGCTGGTTCTTGAGAATTCTCAGAGTCAACTGAGCTCGCGGTTCATGCCCTGATGAGTGATTCATTGGGGGGTGCTGTGGTTGAGCAGTCGTTTTCATTGTTCCTGCTCTGCTGAGACCATCAGCATTCACTTGCACGTCTGTTGGGCTGCCTGCTACATGTGGGGCAGTGCAGGCGATTGAGTTCACAGCACGTGCTTGCTTGGAGATTCGTGGCGCAAGGCTCGTTCACCAACTGACGGGGGCATGGGGGGAAAGGCAGGGGGAGGGGAGGAAAGGCTAGTTCACCAATTCCCGGTGTATCTTCCCTGCAGGTGTTCCAGTATCACACAAAAGGCAGAGAGACCGGGACACGGGGGAAAGGCAGGTGGGAGGGAGGAGGAGGTAAGGCTTTTCACCCATGGGCCTTTCTCTTTTCCCTGTTCATGTTCCAGGATCACACAAGAGGCAGCGAGACGGGGACCTGGGAGGGAAGGCGGGGGGCAGGGGAGGAGGGGCCAAGGGAGGGGAGGCGGCTGCCAGAGTGAAGAAGGAGCAGGGGGGGGAGTCGCTACAGGATGGGAAAGTTGGTCTAGGGGGCCCAAAGGTGTCATTCTCCCTTGATGCTAGAAAACGATGATTGCTGTAACAAAGTGACATGACCTGATCTTCACACATGCAAAGCATTTGGCCTGATTAGGCCTACCCAATATCTTCCTCTTTGAGAACAATTGGAGAATGGGGCCATGGGAGGAAGAGCTAGGCCGTGCAAGTTGTCAAACTAGCTAGGTAGCTAGGGAAGCCATGGAATGGCAAGAGGTTTTAGGCTAGGAGAAATATCGAGAGAGAAGAGATCTTGGAATAGAAGAGAGGGATACAAGAAGGGGGGTTGTACCCTCTACAGTAGAATCCAGTAACACCTACTAAACCTACCATACTAAGTATCTCAAATATATAATTTAACGCACCCCCTAGGCTTGGTAGCTGAGAGCCCACCACACACACAGCACACTAAGCCACACACCCCCTAGCACCCCCATACTCAGCAGCAGCGATGGCTACTCCCGCATGGTCGACCCCACGGTGCGTGAGACGGGGCGACAGCGATAGCGAGTGCAGCGGCTGCAACGACGACGACGGCGGCAGCGACGACAGCGGCGACGGCGGCGGCGTGCGGCGGCGTGGCCAGCGGCACCAGCTGCGGCGGCGGCGACTTCGACGGCAGCTGCCGGCGACGGCGGAGCCCGCAGCACTCGGCGGCGTGGCTGGGCTCTGCGACGGTGGGACGGCCAGCACGAGTCAGCCGTCGGCTGCGGCGAGAAAGAGGGGGCACAGGGGAAGAGGGGGGGGCTTCAGCAGCAGAGCCTGAGAGCGTGCCGCCCCGTGTGGCGCGCTGGCTGCATGCGGGCGTGCTGGCCAGCGCTAATAAGGGGCGCCGGAAGCTGCCGTCCGTGCCGTCCGCGTGCTGGCAGCACGTCGCCACGGCTTGACGTCGACGCCATGACAGCGCGACGCCGTGGCAGCGCGTCGAGACGGCCGCGGTAGCACGACGCGGCTGGCGGCACGACGACGCCGCCACAACAGCACGACGCGGCCGCCATGGCAGCACGACGCGGCCGCCATGGCAACGCGAGAGTGAGAGGAGGAGTGCGCGGCGGAAGCGTGATAAGCAGGCCCACGAAGAGCAATCTATCAAAGTTAACGAATGAATAGAACCATGACATACGAGGGAATATAACCTAGTGGGTTGTACTCTCTAAGGCACAACCTCGTGTAGTCTATAACAACATACAAGGATATGTTTGACAGACCCCCTAGACTGGATATGGACAGTGCCTGGTGAGAGACAAGCAGCTCAGGGTGGCACTACTAGTCCAGCCTCTAACCCAAGGTCTAAAGACCAGTCAAACGAGTACAAACAAGGCAAGAGCAAGACCAGGGTGACACTACTAGTCCAGCAACTGGGAACAGGCCACAAGGCCAGTCAAGGTAATATATATAAAGGTCTGTACACAATCAAGGTCCTAGCAAATGAGAGACTACAGGAACGAGACCTAGCTGTACACAGTGCAGCCGATGATCTTTAGACGCAAGCACCTTCGTAAAGATATCAGCTGTGTTGGCATCGGAGGCCAAGTGTACTATGTAGGCCTGGCGACACTGCTGTAGCTCTGCCCTCGAGTCTAGGCTCCTGACACAGGAGGATCATGGCCCTGTTGTAAGCATACATAACCGAGGCAGTGTTAGGCCGCTCACCTAAGTCTGTAGGCAAGAAGGTCAGCCAGCGGAGCTCCTGTGCCGCCATGGCACCGGCGTAGATCTTAGCCTCACAGCTAGACGGGGCAACAGACGAGGAGCGAGTGGACCTCCACGAGATGGCACCTGAAACCAAGGCTAAAGTAGTAGCCCTGGGAGGACCTGAGAGTCTCGGCGTCGTCTGCCCAAGAAGCGTCTGTGTGCCCGGTAAGGACCACTCGTCTGCGTCCTCCTAGCACTAGCCCCATGCCCGATGTACTTGCTAGATAACGCAAAACCCTCTTAGCTGCCGACCAGTGCTGTGGTCGGTGTCTGCCGGTGGCCACAAAGCGAGCCAAGATGCTGAGCGGGTAAGCGAGATCTGGACGAGTGCAAGTCATCAGGTACATGAGGCAACCCACCAGCTCTACGTAAGGACCACTAGGCTCTACAGCCTCCTTCGAAACTGGCGCAGAGAGTCTGTGGTCTACTGCAGAGGGGTGGGCTGTGTGGAAGAGAACTGAAGGCCGAACCTCTCAAGGACCTGGCGCACCAAGTGTGACTGTGTGAGAGTGATGGTGCGCGATGCTCTGTCCCTAGAGATGTGCAAGCCAAGGTAGCGCTGCAGCTCTCCTAGGTCAGTGCAAGTGTGTCTCCTCAGCAGCTCGGCCTTAACGGAGGCTAGCGCGTCTCTGTTTGCAGTAGCAAAGACCAGGTCGTCTACGTTGACAAGGATGTAGAACAGAGTTTGGCCGGAACGGACAAAGAGCGAGGGGTCTGCAGACGACGGGAAGAACTGCAGGTCAGCTAACGTAGCACGCAGCGTGCCGTGCCACTCACAGGGCGCCTGCTGCAAGCCGTAGACGGGGCGCCGGAGGAGCCATTCAGTACCAGGGGGAAAGGTACCGAAGAAGCCCTAGGGGCGGCGCAGGTTGACCTGCTCGTGTAGACTGCCCTGGAGGAAAGCTGTGGAGAAGTTGAAGGAGTGCAGCTCGTAGTCACGCTGTGCTGCTACGTGTACTAGCGCCCGAAGAGTGGTCATCTTCGGGGTCGGGGCGAAGGTCTGAAAGAAGTCCACCCCCTCACGCTGACTGAAGCCTCGAGCAACGTAGCGCGCCTTGAAAACAGGCGGCTCTCCAGGAAGGCAGTTCACCTTGAAGAGCCATCGGCCATCGTCTACGTTCACCCTAGGTGGGGGAACTGCGTCGACGAAGGTTTCGGTGGATCTCCCAGATGCCATCTCCTGCTCCATGGCAGCTATCCACTGAGAGGCCCGAGGTCCCGAGGTGGCCTCAGCGTAGGTGCGAGGGGTCGGGATGTCATAGGCGTCTGGGTTACCTTCAGGGACTAGAAGTATGGAACAGAGATGGGGAGCGGCCTCAGACAGGAATGCGAGCTCGTACTGCCTATCTTCTAGGACGTCACTGCCAAGGGCAGCCGCACCCCTGACGGACGGAGGGCAAGCAGGGTCAGAGACTTGAGTGGTGGCGTAGTCAAGGTGGTGGGTAGCGGCGAAGTCAATGACAGCAGCGACAAGAGCCGACAGATTGGAGACAGGAACGGACGGGTCGGTAACAGAGAGGCAAGGACACCAGGAACAAGGGGACATGCAGCACGGAGGAAGTAAGAGAACGGGGGCGGTGCCACAGCAAGCGACGACGGAGGAAGAGACGGGAGGAGCGGAGGAGCACGAGACGCGTGGGAGCGAAGCAACATAGGGTGGGAACGCGGAACAGGGGAATAAGGACGAGCACAAGACGGACGATGAGACCAGACATGAGACGGAGGAGTCGGGTCACGAGAGAGGGGAGGAGACACAGGAGGAAAACGGGGAGGGAAACGAGGCGTCCTGGGGAGGAAACACTGGGCGGAAGACCAATGGAGGAGGAGGCGGCGATTACCGTTGAGGCACTGGCAAGCGGTCAGGGGAAGGAAGACCGAGGAGGCGAAGAGCGGACACCGGCAGCGACTGCTGCGACTGCTGCCCGACGCCAACACCAGAACCTCCAGCGACAGCACGGCTCCCTCCGAGAAGCTCCATGCCAGCAGCCCTAGAATGGGAACCTACTCCGGTACTCGCTCCAGCACGCTCCCCAGCACCCCCAGAACGCACGAGCGATGACAATGGTGGCTGCGGCCGCGGCAGCGACGGCAGCGGCGGAGGCGGCTGCGGCGGTGAGAGCAATGGCGGCGACGGGGGAGAAGCGACCGTGGCGGGGAGGGATGGGGGGAGGGACTCCACTAAGTCGCGAGAGTCAGCAGACTCCTCGGCACGGACACTCGACTTGAGAGGGGTGACATGAGACACACCAGACGAGGAAGGGAGGGGAGGGGGGGTAGCCGGGGCTACCAGGGGAGGGGGAACTAGGTACAAGGGTGGGGTAACCGAGGGACCACAGTGGGGAAAGCGGTGGTCAAAGGAGACGGATTCATCCAAGGTGACGTCACGGGAGTGAAAGAAGCGGTGAGACGGCGGGTGGTAAAAGTGCCAGTCAGACGAGTCGAGGGGGAAACCGAGGAAGACACAGGGGATGGTGCGGGCACTGAGCTTGTCCGTGCCAGAGGCACGAACGTGAGCGAGGCAGCCCCAGACGTTACAGACGCGTCACCTGGGGACCCGGTCCACAGGAGGGTCGGTGAAACCTGCGGCTGCTGAGGGTGCAGCCACAAGTTAAGCTGGTGAGCGGCATAGCAAACAGCGAACGGCCACAGAAAATGGGGTGCACTTGTGAGAGTACAACCCCGCTACACTTCTTTCTTATTTCCATCTTTTTGCTCTACCTCATTCTTCTAATTATCCTAATTCCTTGGATCTTTATCTCATCCCATTTGGTTTCCTATTCCTCCTTGTTAAAGTGAAAGAATGATTAGAATAGTGACATACAAGGGAATATAACCTAATGGGCTGTACTCCTAAAGGCACAACCCTATATAGTCAATAACGACATGCAATGTATGTTTGACACACCCCCTAGACTAGATAGGGGCAGTGCCTAATGAGAGAGAAGCAGCTCAGGGTGGCACTACTAGTCCAACCTCTGAGACAAGGGTCTAAAGACCAGTCAAACAAGTACAGACAAGTCAAGAGCAAGACCAGGGCGGCACTACTAGTCCAGCCACTGGGAAGAGGCCACAAGGCCAGTCAAGGTAATATACATAAAGGTCTGTACACAATCAAGATCCTAGCAAGTGAGAGGCTACAGGAACGAGGCCTAGCTGTACACTGTGCCACTGATGATCTTTAGGCACAAGCGCCTTAGTAAAGATATCAGCTGTGTTGGCACTGGAGGCCAAGTGTACTACACGGGCCTGGCGACGCTGCTGTAGCTCGCGCAGGAGGAAGTACCGCAGCTGGATGTGCTTCGCTCTGCCCTCAAGTCGAGGCTCCTATCACAGGAGGATCATGGCCCTGTTGTCGGCGTACAGAACAGGGGCAGAGCTAGGCCGCTCACCCAGGTTGGTGAGCAAGAAGGTCAGCCAGCGGAGCTCCTGTGCCACCATGGCACCAGCGTAGATCTCAGCCTCACAGCTAGACTGGGCAACAAACGAGGAAAAGGTGGACCTCCACGAGATGGCACCTGCACCAAGGCTAAAGCAGTAGCCCTGTGAGGACCTGAGAGTCTCGTCGTCGTCTGCCCAAGAAGC